AAAATTTAATTTGCCAAACAGGGCCGCGTAGTCTATTTGGTATAGAGTAAAAAAAAACTAGTTGTAACAATAATTTGAATATACAAAATTTATGTAACAGTTCTTGGTGTTCAACTGATTACTTATTCCTTGTACGTAAATTCAAATAAGCGATAAAATAAAAACTAAAAAGAAAATTATATTTTGAATCAGAACTTCGTAAAAGATACTGTTCTGTATTCAATACCAGAACTAACTGTTTTATATGTATAAATAAATTACCAAGTATGCAGAACTGGAAAAGTCATTACAATACCTATAAATGAAACCGTACATCGTACTAATAATTCCTAAGTCTGTAAACTTTTCCTAATGATTCAACATAACTACGTATCGTATATACGTATATTTAAAGACCACAATATCTTGTCTTTTGAGAACGAAACTAGGAAACATTTATTTCTATTTAGTGACAAGCGATTATTCTTACTTGACATTCGTGGTGAATTGGCTGAAAGACTTATGCAATTTTTAATAGTACTGTCTTCCACACAGAGTTTCAAACCATCTTCAAGTTGTAGTTTCTCAAGGGACGTATGTTCAATATAATAAACAATAATAACAACAATGGTATTAAATTATAACCCTGAGAAATTCCACACGTACTCTGGTGAATATGAATCCTAGAAAAAGTTACAACCTACATTGTAGAATTAAACAATTCAAAATCACAAAATTAGTTATCAAGGATGAAGTAATCAATCTCATCCAGATTTTACAAGAAACTACATATTTAGTGTTCACTTGATTCCTGTTATCAAATTAAAAAAAAAAGTCAAAGAAACGTATTGTGACAATAAAGCGATATTTGACACAGTTGGTGTTTTCTCTACAGAACCACGTCATAAAAAATTACAGACAAATAAGTAGATTAGCTTAAAAAGAAATCACAGATTGAAATATTATGTAGAAATTACATAACAGCCTTTTGAGCTTGGAATTCTTAACACCAGCTGGGTTTTCAGTCTTAAATGTGGGACAATTACATGACTTTTTCAAAGCTCGGCTACTCGACATTGTTTGAGAATGAGATTAAATATTTGAGATCCGCAAAAGTATATGTAAGTAGTAAGTACGTAGTACGTCGCACAGCACTGGAACAAAAATTGGTACATATAACGTTATTTAGACAGAACTGTCTTAAAATACAATCCAACAAATTCAGTTTTTTATATAAATTATTATTATAATATTTGATTTTTATGTTATGCTTTATCCAGCAAAATTTTGAAATAATGAAGTTTTTGGTGGGGATAATTATACTGCGGGAGTGAGCCGATCCTTGTCAGTCACCCATTCAAATCTTGACGGTGGGTAGCATTGCTTAACTAGCATTTGTAATAGCAATTTAAATCCGTTAAAAAAATACACGTTACAATTTAGAAAAATATAGATTTGCATCGCAACGCCGACGCCTTGTATGCATCATATTTGGAATATACTAAATTAAGCTTTCCCCTTCAAGCTAAAAACAATGAGTTTACCGAATTTGGTATAAGGCCGCGGAGTTTTAAATGGGACACTGTATATGCGAAATTTCATAACGATCAGTGTAGCAGTTCCGAAGATTATCTGTCTAATAAAATCATTGTCACACCACAAACCGCAGACCGACGGAAATGAGAGACCCATTTTTTCATACTCTTGGGGTTATGAACATCCTTTGCAAAACAACAAATTGACGGAAAACTGGCAGCTAAGTAATTCTTTCATCCATATAACTACGTCCTAACAGAGAGTGCGTGTACTTTTTACGGAGAAACACCCAAAACGTCTTAGGATTTACTGACACAGACACAGTATTGTTAATGTTATATGAATTTTAAATAAGGTTACACTTCGGAGGTTATTGACGAGTTATAGAATGAAAGAAAAAGAGAAATTTTGTAATAGTGGTATACAAACGGGAAGATTATTTTTAAAATTTAGGTACTAATAAGAGACGACGAAGTCAGTGTTAACGTAAGTGAAATAAAATAAGTAAATCAGACATTTTTATCGACATGACTACATTATTCCTTTGACAAAAATTACAAATTCAATTTGCCTTTACTTCGTCAAAATGAAATATAGTCGCTTTACTTTTACCGCCTAGGGTTATTAATTTCTAGCTGCTTCAAATTTTTCAGTTTTATTCCACTGCTTTTGTATATGGAGCGTTCCAATTTTTTTCATTCATAGTGACATTTTCTTTTTTGTCCATCGTTTCTTTGTAATGTAATTCTAAGTCAGTAATAATGATTTATACACAATCGAAAATTTTTATGACGTTTCTTGCTTCTAGCTAAATTAACTAATTAGTCACTGACGTAAGTTAACAGTAAGTATCTATGGTGCAGCTACCGATCATATTACTAAGAACTATTTACCAAAAATATTTATTCAGAATTGATGATAACATCTGTTTTCACATTAACATTAAAGTGAAAGTTTTGCCGATTAATTTAAACTACATTTTTAATTCTAATGTGGCAAATTAAACTATATATTACCGTATTACCAGCTACAAAACAAACTCTTTTTACTATAACTTTTATTCGATCGTTTTCAGGAATCGTACAATGTCCATAAGTTATTCAAAAGAAACAGATAACAAAAAGATAAACTATTGTCGATCTGAAATTACTCTTTAAGATAAACGACTTTCGGAGTAAGCACTGACACTGGTAGGTACATAATGGAAAAAAAAATTCTTGGGATAACCCGACCGAGGTCATTAGTGTACATTTAGTGGGAGCCGTCGACGATATAATACCAGTTTTAAATTCAATAATAATCACTCGGCTTCAGTTCTCGCGCGTCCTGCATTACAGTTGCAGTGTAGGTTCTAGTTGTATTCGGTCAGTGCATCCCTACTCACTTTAGAGGGGGTAAGTTTCACGGTCTGTTTAGCCGCATTGTATATAAAAAAATCAAAATCTGCTCTTTTACGTTGCAAGTATTGTGGTAATTTTATTCAAGGTTACTAAGAATGACAGATTTCTCTTATAACTCAATTCATTTAAATACACCACAATAAAATAAGTTGTTATATTATATGAAACGGCGAAAATTGAAATAATAATATAAAATAAGTAATAAATAAAAAGGAAATTTTATATTATAGTATATAATGATATTTTGATTTATTACTAAATAAGGTCTCGACCTGTTAACGTTTAAAAATAGGTTTCTCCAAATGTTTACGAAGAACTTACTTGCTGATAACTCTTTCTAACAGAAATGACAACTCATTAAAAATCAAATTTATATATTTTTTATAATATTACCAATCAATACTTAATGTATACGTATATTACGGTTTTTCGTTGTCTTGTTCGCAAAACCCAAAATTCTGTTTTATATTTTCCCACAAAAGATTGTGTGTGCATTTTTTAACGTTAGAAATGCGTAATCTAATAATAATAAGTCTGTGATGTAGCATACTGCAATTTGATCAAACTTTTTTCGGCAAGCTCATTTTTGACAACAATAACAAGTTCCTGCAACCACTGAGCAAGTGTGCAGCGTTATTCCTAACAGCAGTTGGGTCTGCACGATTTGTTTTTATTTTTATTTTTTCATTGCGCCCAGACATTTGTAGCCAGACGAAAACCCAAGCACCAGTTTTACAAAGTAATTACACATAATCTTAGCGTTTACAATCCTTTGTTTTTATTCTCACCTATAGTGTTAAATTAATGTTCGAAATGCATCTACTTTTGTGATAAACACTGTATTTATCAGATACAATTCTTGTAAATAATTATTACAATGATGGGAAATCCCCTCATAAATACGAATACGAGGAGACGTAACAACTTTACTACATGGGAATTTGCATTACTCATTCGAACTTTTTTATCGAAAACAAAACAATAAGTAGGTAACTTTCCTTGTATCACGACCGTGAGTAAATCCATAACTTCAGGCGACTTAAATCTGTAGGCAAAATATGTTTGCACATTTGTTGTCTTTTACTGAAATAGCAAACGCAACCAGTTTGTTTACAATGTGAAAAAGAATTTTCGGAAGAAATTAAATCTGGATTATTTTCTCATTTCCAGACATATCAATACAGTAAGTACCTAACATAACCACAGGAGCTAATGTGTGTTAAATTATTACTACACTTACTTTTTTATGTGTACTGTGTGACCTGTCATCATAAATATTGAATGGAGAAAACGTGTTTGGGACGAATTACACAACTTTCCAATGCTGTACATACCCACTATGATTAAAAATGCTTGTGTATTAAAATCAACTGAATACATACGTTATTTTGCGCTTTGTTATGGTTGCCATTCTGATTATCACTTATAGTTTTTTTTTTCAATTCAATCAATGTAATTTTTTTTGCGACACAATTTTAAATGAAAATACCTGCATATGTAGCTCTAGCAGACCTTAAATATTACTTATGATTATTATTCAAAGAAAACTCCAAAGAATGCAGAATCTTAATAATAATTATTTATTAGATCCCTATTATATACAAAATAAAATTCTGTGGCCTTAAATTTTGAAAACGGACAGAAATACTAAAATTCTGTAATTACCATTGCTTTTAGCTTCAAGGGGAAGCTTAATTTAGTACATTGCAAATTACCACCTTGTAAAATACAGCATGTCCAGCGTAGAAAAAAGCGCACAGGTAAACCCTGATTCCCCTAGATTCTCTCAGCTGATTTCGTATTCCAGTGGCTTAACGTAGAGTATTAACACTTGTCGGGGCAACACATAGCGGTTTGTGCAAGATTAAATTCACTTAAAATGTTGTTCGTCTAAATACAATACTATCCCCACCCCCTACACCGCATCGTTTGAGATAATATTGGTCTCAAGAATCAGTTTTAACGATGCAATATTATCATTCTGACTGAAAATTACTTTTACACGCCGCCCCTGGATGCATTTGAATTGGGTGCTAAATTAGGACCACTGCGCATGTATCTAGTGCTTCTTATTATGCTGGGAAAGCTGTAATTTATAAGTGCTCAATTCTTTTCAGCGAATAAAAAGATAAAATGTATAAATATAAAAAATTGGAAGTTAAGTGAAATAAAGGACTACCACATTATTTTACACACAACTGGTAAGATCTGTTTATTCTGTTTCAAAAATAGTCTTTCAAGCATTTAGTCGTCCTTCACACTGAACACAAAACATCTTATTAATTCACAACTTATCGTGGTTAATAAGTATTACGAGTTGAAGACTCAGAAACATTCATAATTCACTTTTTTTAATCTTTTAAATCATCAAGAGTCGCAAATATGCCAAATCTTTTATGTATCGCCACAAAAAGAAAGGTAAAACCACGGAAAAAGCGCTATATTTAAACTGCGAGGTGGCCAGAAAAACTGAACAATTTTCAACAGATAGCAAAATAATTGTTGTAGTCCAAACCCAATAGTATAGTAGTATAATTATTGTCTTGTGCACATCCACATCTCTAACAATAAATGTCAACTACATAAATAATTCTCTTCATTTAGATAATTTATATTATTTACACTTAAAACTAACGCAACACATGATAAGTGTGTTATAAGTATCATTGTAATCGTAATTTAGTGATATTCCTAAATCGATTAAATAATATATGTTGCAATTTAAAAAAATATGGAGTATCAAATATGCGTCATATTTGCAATGTACCAAACTCAACCTCCCTTCTCTACAAAATTTTAATATTTCTATCCGTTCTCAGGGTTAAGGCCGCAGGGACACTCTGTATATATACTAGGGTGATTCAAAAAAAAAAAAAAATTTTTTTTTCGTGCAAAGAGGTTCAAAAGTTTCTTTTCAACGTAAAAAAATACCAGTTAAAATTTGAGCTCTTAATATTAATATTAAGACCGTCCGCATCGCGTTTTTCTATTTCCCATAAGAATAACATGGGAAAATTTTTGTTTGCACCTTCTGATTTTTATTGCTAGCCCGTCGTGTGTCGTGAAAAAAATTCAATCACATATTTTTATAGAGAATTGAACGCTCTACAAAAAGTGTCTCCTATGATTGTGCGAGAAACCTGATAGTTGAAGAGTTATTTTAGGCTAAAGTTAAATTTATCCAAATTTTGACGTTTTTGATGCATTACAATAAATTTGATGGTCTTATTGGAATAAATCACCACAAAAATTTATACACATTTTAAATTTAGTTTTTTAAACAGTAATTGTTTATAATTTTATGCTATAATAAGGCCAGTAAAACTCTTTCCGAACATTTTCAGCATCAGTGGGTTAAAAAATCATAGTCAGGTTTCTCGCAAAATCATAGGAGACACTTTTTGTAGAGCGTTCAATTCTCTATAAAAATATGTGATTGAATTTTTTTCACGACACACGACGGGCTAGCAATAAAAATCAGAAGGTGCAAACAAAAATTTTCCCATGTTATTCTTATGGGAAATAGAAAAACGCGATGCGGACGGTCTTAATATTAATATTAAGAGCTCAACTTTTAACTGGTATTTTTTTACGTTGAAAAGAAACTTTTGAACCTCTTTGACACGAAAAAAAAAATTATTTTTTTTTTTTTGAATCACCCTAATATATACATATATTTAAAAATATAAATTTAAAACGAAAAATGTGCCTAAGAGAGGATTTAAAGTCACACATCATGTCGTTTTTTAAATTATTTTGCAAATAAAAGTCGGATCAGCAGAAACTGTAACAACTATATTTCTTTAGGTTTTGTTAAAATGGGGACTAAATTGAAATTCTTGTTCTTCCTGGCAATATGTATCTCTGTGGCGAGTGGATTTTCAACAGACAGAAATAGTTTAGTCGTATCTGCAACAGACGACACAACTGAAGCTCCAAATTCAAAGGTTAATGCAGTTCAAGCTAAATGCATAATATTTAGTTATCTTACAATTTTTTAGGAAGATGCAGCACCTGTAATTCCCAAAATTTATGAAATGAGGGTTAATACTAATGTCTCCAATCGGTTTGCTAAAACTTCCGTCGTCAGTAAAGTTAAAAATTTAGCAAAATCTGCTCAAGAAGCAACTTTCGCCGTAGTATTACCCGAAACTGCTTACATTTCAGGATTTGTAATGGAAATCAACGGAAAAAGTTATAAAGCATATGTTAAAGAAAAAGAAGAAGCTAAGCAAATTTACAATGAGGTAAGTACCTGTTCGAAAATAATGTCAAAAAAATATATTTCCCATAACTTTTGCGTTATTTGAGAAGGTAGAATTTAAAACAATATGTAAAACATGTTTTGCAAGGTCAGCTGCTATTATCGAAATGAGATGAGTAAGTTACACAATAATAATCTATTCGTGAGCATGTAAACACCTGTTGTGTTTTTGTAAACTAAAAGATTACGTAATATCAGTCACAAAAAAGTAGAAATTATATACTATGTTTATACGATGGAATGTTTTACTAAGTTTATCAATAGTTCTTCGCTAATAATATTTTTTATGTGACATAAGGTATGACATTCCATGTTTATGTTCTTTACACGAGCCAGATAACATATTTGTGCATAAGTCCGTCCTTATGAACAAAATATACGATTTTTTTTTTATTCATAACAAAAACTTACTTGTTTTTATCTATTTGCCTATATTCTCCCATTTTTATCTCTTCTTTTAAAACTTACTTCCAAGGTAATTTTTGTCATATTACTTTAGTTATTTCTTCTCTACTTTTTCATCAGTTTTTCACACGTCACTGTCAATTTTATACAGGGCTTTCAAAAATTTTATCTGTAAAATTAAAAGATGTTGCAGATTTGCCACTTCCTAGTAATTGTAGACATTTTAAAAATCTATAATTCAGAATAATTATGACATCTGAACTTTCGTTTAGTTACACGCTCTGAAAGAGGCGGAACAAATCAGCGTCCACGTGGATGTTAGAATCATTTATGAAGACCCTGTATTATCTAAGTAGTTGACTTTCTTCTGCAAGGTCATTTCGGTATAAATAAATACCGTCCTTAAAACTCTACCCGCTTGTTTTCTTTCTTATTTCTGGCCTCTAAATTTATATTTCTACTTGAAATTTTATTTAAGAAATTATTAAAAGCCCTACGTAGTGGAAAATTAAAATTAAGAATAATAGGTATATATGTAGAAAAATATTAAAACTATGTAGTTGAGAAATAAAGTAACATAATAAATACCTTGTGATTATGACTCATTGCCATAAGGAGCCGACCACTATTTAAGTAAAAGTTCTAAACCACATTGTGCCGATCGTACACATTTCACGATTAACTTTTATTAACAGCAATAAATTCTTGAGTATCGAAACCAACTGTATAGATAACCTTAATAAATCGCTTTATAGGCGATAGAACATGGACAAGCAGCAGCACATGTGGAAGCAAATGCACGAGATTCCAACAGATTCACTGTATCAGTAAATCTAGAACCTCAGTCAAAAGCAATTTTCACTCTGACTTACGAAGAATTACTTCAGCGGCAAAACGAACAGTACGAAATCGTTCTTAATATTCATCCTGGACAACCTGTCAAAGACTTAATTGTTGAGGTAAGGATGAACGCATAAAGAGATTTTTAAAGGTTTTAAATGACGGAATGGTTTAGGTAAACATTGATGAAAGCAAGCCTTTGAAATTCGTAAAGTCTCCACCATTACGATCAGGAAATGAGATTTCTAAAAATGATGACGATAAGCTTGCATCTTTAGCAGAAATTGTTAATATTAATTCGACAAGTGCAGTTGTTAAATTTAGTCCAAATATCGAAAGACAAAAGCAGTTAGCGACCGGTTTAGGTACTAAGGAAGAAAATGGATTAGCTGGACAGTTTGTGGTTCAATACGATGTTGAAAGGGATCAGCAAGGAGGAGAGATTTTACTTAAAGATGGTTATTTTGTGCATTTCTTTGCACCTAGCGATATACCACCTCTTCCTAAAGAAGTTGTATTTATTTTGGATACCAGTGGTAGTATGGATGGCATTCGAATCAAACAGTTGAAAGAAGCGATGAATAGTATTCTTACCGAATTAAAGAAGGAAGACTTAGTTAACATTGTGGAATTTAGTTCAACTGTAAAAGTATGGAATGTTCCTAAAGTTGAAGTAGATTATGAACTTGGTGATGACCCGTGGCCGTCGTACACGAACCCAGAAATACCCAAGAAAAACAAAACCGTAAGTTTTATTATTATTTATATTTTCAATATATCGGGCGTTTAAATGAAAACCTGGACAAGAGTTATTATTTTTCCGTATGTCGTAATCACCATGGTCGTATGCGAAATGAATGTTGAGCTGTCATCCGCTTGTCACATAGACTATTGTGATTTATTAACATTATTAATAATCTTTAAGCTGAGTTTGACATCGAGATAACAACTGTCTCGAACACGATGACAAACAGTACGACATACGGAAAAAATAAAATGGGAGGCAGTCCTTTTAACTAGAGTTTTATTTAGACACCCGTTATGTTTCATCATAAAATTATTTTAGAATCAAGTTTTACCCCCACCATATGAAGCAACTGAAGAAAATATAAATAAAGCTAAACAAGTAGTAGAGAAGCTAAGTGCTTATGGCGGGACTGACATCAAGTCCGCGCTAGAAGTTGGTCTTAAAATTATCAAGAAAAATAGAGAAGACAAAGGTAATACCCACCAACCCATCATTATTTTCTTGACAGACGGAGAACCCACTGTTGGAGAAACTACCCCAGACAAAATTACATCCGCTGTAAGCGATCTTTAGTTTCGTGGCTTTTAACTATTTTAAATCACAAACACTTTAGATATCTGAACTCAACACTGGCGCCATCAAATCCCCGATCTTTTCGTTATCTTTCGGAGACGGAGCCGATAGAGACTTCTTACAAAAAATATCGCTGAAAAACTTAGGTTTTGCAAGACATATTTATGAAGCGGCCGATGCAAGTCTTCAGTTGCAGGAATTCTACAAAGAAATTTCGTCACCTTTATTAAACGATGTTTCATTTAAATACGTTTCAAATGTAACCAAATTAACAAAGACGCGGTTTCCCATTTTCTTTTACGGTTCTGAATTAGTAGTGGCAGGTAGTTTTACAGGTTTGTGTAGTCATACTCGGATTATTCAACAGTACTCATTTTTTCCATTTTATTTAAGATGAAGAATTTACTCCTCCGACGATCCATGGTAATGGTTTTAGAGGACCTATAGAATGGATACCAAAAGTTGAAAATCCTGTTGGTGATTTAGAAAGACTATGGGCTTACCTGACTATTAAACAAATATTGGAAGCTAGAGATGCAGCTGAAAACAAAACTGAGTATACTAAAAAGGCTTTGGATATTGCATTAAAATATTCGTTTGTCACTCCAGTTAGTTCGTTGGTTGTAGTTAAACCAAATGACACCAGCGCTGTCGACACTGAGGACGCTTCCAAAAGTAAGAGGGATCTTTCTAAAAATTTCTGTCAATTTAGAACGTTCTATAAAAATATTTATTTGTTTCAGATTCCAATAATAGACCACGATTTGCAAGCACAAGTAAGTTTTATAATAATGTTCTAAATTAATATTTTTATAAGAGTTGTTGGGGGTAGATATCACTACTATAAACATACATTTTATTTAACATTTGGCTTAATCACGTCTGTTATAAAAAATGTGTATTTTTCGACATTTTCATAAACACATTTTAAACTTTTTTCTCTAAAGCTTCATATTTGGAGTTGGCTACATCAAGACATACATACAGAAATAACAACCCAACTAGCATTTAATGTAGGTAACGGTGAATAAAATTGGGTTAATGAAAATTTAGTTAGCATTATTACTAACTTACTTCTTAATCGTATAATTCAATTTTAAATTTATTAATAAATCATTGATTGACGAATTTATTCTTTCGTGCTGTCAAAAGTTTCCACTTTGTCAAAAATTTAACTGGTACTATATTAATTATTTTTGATAGCTTGATGAAGTATGCATATAAAAGAAGAGTGTAACTCCATCATAGGCTACTTTTTTAATTTTTCTTTCATTTTGCAGGTAACACTTCTAGAGGCGTTTGTTCAATATATTTTTACAAGTTATTAATGAATATAGTATTAATAACTTTAATAAATTACATATTGTAATAACTACTGTGTTCAAATTATTATTAATGAATAAATTATTTTTGAATTATATAGAATAAACTGTTTCAAGTTTAAAATTACTAGCGGTGACTTCGTAGTCATCTGGTTACAGTCAGACAAGAACTTATTTCACATTTATTGTTTACTATAATTCGTAGTTACTAAAATTTCACCATTTATTATGATCAGATCAGATGAGATTACCTAAGCATATTGAAAATGTCACCTAAAAACTAAGTAAGTGTCCCTCACTTTGATATTGCTTTCGTTATTACTGAAATTATTATTTTAATGTGCTAATATTTTTTTCCTAACTGTAACTTAAAATGTTAGTTGGGAATGACCATACTGCATGCATCAAAAAATTATATTTGAATGTCCCGAATTTGAAGACAAAAAATATAATAAGAATCTTGATTTAGTTTCACCACTGGCATATACCGCTAAACGTCATTGCTTTATCAGACATACATACATAATCATTAATAAAAAAAAAACCTTTCTCACCGAAGGTGTAAGGTACCATTGCTTTATCATTAAAGATAGGGGGAAATAAGTTTTTCCGCCATTTAATTTGTTAATAGTTATTTATATGTCAAGGGACTTATCAACCATCGAGCCAGAGGTTCTCGGGTCTCTAAACCGTCACCCTCGAAAGGTCATAAACTTCAAATAATCCCCGTGATAATACAAAATTGTATGTCTTACCGTGTAATTTTTGGTATTTACAAAAAAAAGTAATCTTTGTACATTCTTTTATTGGTTGCATTTATTCCAGAAGAACTAATTAATTTTTTCGGATTTAGCCATAAAAATGTTTTACCAGTTTTGTTATTTGTTGCTAACGAATGATTTTTACAAGCAAATTAAATTTTGTCTGTTACCTGAGATCGTGATTCCAATAATATAAATTAGCGCTGTCGCCGCATCTGCACAACCAGCAATACACTAAGTAATAGTTGGTTTCTAGCCGATTGTGTTTTCCTTGGATTATGTGTGTTTCCTTTTAATATCACTATGGCAGAAGTTCTTAATACCCAAGAATATTATTTGGTATTTGATCAATAACGTAACTTAAATCCAAGCCATTATAGACCAATAATAACCGGTAGGACATAAGTAACTATATGATTTCCACCATTAGTCGATAGCTGCCTTTCATACGCCTATGCAGTGCATTGTAGTTGGGGTTAGTCAACGAGTTCTCACTTATTTCCGCCTAACAGTGTATAGATTATATACTAATAAAATTTAATTCAGTAGTGGAGAACGCCTAGGAATCATAATCAACACTGCACGTCAAACCTCTAATCATTCATCAATCATGAATAATAATTGCTTTTTACCATAATGTGCTGCCTGTTATGTATTATTAATAATAGTAACTGCTTGAATGGCATGTTATCTATGGAAATTTAGTAAATCAGTATCACCTGCTATATCTATATTTTCAGATTACGCATTGGGAGGAGGAAGCTTTGCCGGAGGTAGGAGAAAATTAATAATAGGTATTTTAACTATAAAAATTAAAAACAATTGCGAAGAAGTGTTTTAAGTAATAAAAGTTGCACCGAAATGTGGCACAGCTGTTCTGAGATGACGGCAAATTTTCATACAAAAATTGCATTAAATGTTTACAGAAAAGAGTATTTTACCTACCGCAATAATTACAATTGTTAAAGATATCGTACACAACTGATGATTTAAACGATCGAAAAGACAGTTTAGATGAACAGTGCAAACATTCTTGCAAATATAAACGTGAATTTTTACGTACTTAAGACACTTTGATAAACGATTAACTTTCCGTGTGCTTGGTAACCATAGTGAACCTATTATTAAAGTATTAATCAACACATGTTGTGGTAACGTACTGAGAACTAAATCATTTAGGATTTGATTTTATCTACATACCGCGATTTTTTAAATTTCTGCTCTAGTTGTCCATGAAACATTCGTCAACAGTTCATATGAAACGGCTGACGTAAGCGTCATGGCCAACTAGAGCAAACATTTAAGAAAGCACCTGATACAAAAGACTAATGGACGTGACTATGTAATTGACTCAACATTGCCTTTCTGTTGATTAATCTTTAAATATTTTATGAAATGAACTATATAAGATCTGGCAATATTAATTTTATTTTTCTTTAAAATCAGCTCCAACCCTTTCATTCCCAAGCTCAGCATTCGCAGGTAATAACAAAAACGAGTTTTTTAATCTTTTTAATTATAATTATTTTCAAAAACAAAGCAAACTCCGGTTTTCAACAAGTATCATATTCAGCGCTGGGACCAGCACCAGTCGCACCTTTGCAATATGAAGCTGAATCGCTCAGTGAAGACTTTGAGGATACCTTTGTGACAACTGGTGATTTTACAACCGTTGAACCGGAAACGGATCCTTTCGAAGAAATCAAAAATAAGTTGCCTTGGTTGCAGGATATCCTATCAGAAAATGGCACTTTAACAGTTTCGTCAGGTGAGAACTCTTGTCGTATGCAAGTGTGAAGGTACTAATTATCCATATCCTTTATCTTAGGAGACCATCAAGGAAATTACACATTGGCCTCCGAAAATCAACCCGTTGGAAAAAAATGTGCTGCTACTCCTGTAAATGGAACGGCCGGAGTATGTACTCCTCTGATTCAGTGCCCTCAAGTTTTCCCTCATTTAACGGATGCACAGATTTTCGATAAATACTTCTGTCCGTTAGATACGTAAGTTTAATGCAGTTAATTAATAGCTAGAGAAATTTGTGCTTTATTTTAGGTATGTCGGGATCTGCTGTCCTGGTGCGACTGAGAACTCTCCGTAAAACTTCTGTGATTAATAGATTACACAAAAAATGTGAATATATTTTGTAATAAATATGTGTTTTTAATTGTTACTTCAGTTTAAACTTTACCTCACACTTACGTGTGGCTATATGTTAAGTTGCTACACGTCTCAAACAAGTTGTTTAACATAAAAGTTAACTAAACTACAGAGGAATTACAACTAGTTGATGTTGAAGGGGTATCTACAGCAGAAGGCATAAGTGAACATAAGTATAAAAGTTCTAAAAGATTCCATTGGTAAAGGACGCTACCGTAGTGAAAGATTTATAGTGTAGCGTAGGCCGGCTATTAGAAAGTTAAACACCAAAGATTAATGAAATAGCAAAACGTTCGAAAGTTATATTCTAAAACAATTTTAAATTTTGACTTCGGTGTGACAAAAAAAGACGGCATAACAATAAAACTTATGAAATTTGATAAACATCTAATTGTTAAGACATATTGTATAAGCGCATTTATAACAATTTTCCATGGAAGTAGAATAAAAGGAGGAAAACCATTTTTAGAGAAATGCCGGCAAAAGAACTCCACGCAACAGCTATTTATGCCCCCCCCCCCCTCTTATCAAATTATTTTTGTGTTTTATGCCCAGTATCCGGCAAACGCTTTCGGGCACGCCACTGGAGTAAACAGTTTTTCCAAGTTTAAAAATCTATTGAACAGCTTTCCTAATTTTGGTAATCTTTTCATTGGAATGTTTTCTGAACATCTTTTCTGCCTCGAGGATCACTGTAAATATAACAACTGATGGATACCGTTCTTTTTTGTAAGAAATATAAGCCCCACCCACCCACCCTGTCTCAATTATTTCTCTCTTTACAAAAAATTACCATGTAAGACATTTTTTGAGTATCGTGTTATTCAAAGGATACCTACTATGTATATTAAGAATAAATTAAAGCCAAAGACAAAGCCCCACACATAACTGCCCTGATCTAAATAGTAATGAAGTTTTCATTCGTTAGCAGACCTAGGGGCCGAGCCTAATTGCAAGATCCATATTTCCTTCCAAAAAATTTACCATTTTAAACGTATTTTAAGTTTCTAAAAATAAAAAACATCATCATAATTGAGATGGAATGGGAGGGCGGGGTTTATATTTTGCCTTTTTTTCTTAATATACATAGTATTCTTTGAACAACACGATGCTCAAAAACATGTTATTAATTTCTTGTAAAGAAATAAGTATTTTGCAGTTAAACTGAGATAGGCCGGTTAGTTGATCTCACATTTTGCCATTTTGTTTCAATATACGTATAGACTTCTTTTCACAACATGAAACTTAAAACATGTTTAAAATGGAAAATTTTTATAAGGAAATATCGATTTTGCAACTAGGCTCCGCCACATAATGGCAAAACCCATATTTCATTACATAAACCATTTTAACCATGTTTTAAATTTTTTGTTATGAAAAGATGGCTATGTATATTAAGAAAAAAAAAAGGCAAAATGTTAGGAAGTATTGTAATGAAGTCCGTCGGCCGACTCTCTACTTTTACAGTTTCTCGACCTTTCATGACCCCTATAGAGTACGAAGAAATGGGCTCCTGTTTCCGTCTGTCTGTCTGTCTGTTGGTCCGTCTGCCGTCCCGATTTTTTTTTTTGAGACTGATTCATCTGTAAGTATTCTCTGGATGTGCGAATGAATTGTCGTTGTCACCCCTTGGTGCTTGGTACCCGGAGCGGACCGCCCCCACCGTCGCCCCTCTACGCCGCCACAGAGTTTTCAAAGATTTTCATTAAAGCTCAAGTACTTTGTGAACTGTTCTATATATTTTCAAATTGATCGGTTATGAAATGTTTCTAAAAAACTAAGCTTAAGAAGTTATTCAAAGTTAAAATTATTATTTCACAAAGTACCAAAGTACTGCATTAGTTCGGTAAGCTTTGTTTTCCACTATTCTCTAATTACTAGAGACGCCTTTCAGTGGACTGCGGGATCCTGTGGAAGTGCATGCCGCAGCAATTTATTTCTGAACAACACGGCATTTTTGTGGTAAATTTACAAATTGATTTCTGATCATAGTTTCTGATTAAATCTCTGCCTTTTCCCTCGTCACAAATGACAGCGATAGTGCTGGCATCTTGCGTTCAAACAATCGTTATTGTAGCCTCCCAATCTTGTACTTTATTCTCTAACATCAACTGGTTTTGGACGACCTTAGCCAACAGCATGGTACCGGGCGTTTTTTTTTAAACTATCTTCCCACCTCTCATACTTGAACCCTCAATTACAATACTTGTAATATGTAAAAATTAATAAACACAATTTTATGGAATCTTAGGTCATATTTTAATGTTGTATATCACAATTCAAATTTATTACAAAAAGAAAACAATAAATTAAACAAACAGACACACTAAACATATTATAACTCCGTGTGCGCCATATGCATGTGTCTTGCCGCTATATCAGGAGCGTGTAGGAAAATGCCTTCCATAGTTTGCCAATGAACAGACCCTGTTGATGAACGTACACCAACAACCTCCATTTGTCCATTAATTGGTCTCCCAAATGTTTTGCCTGACGCTGATAAGTACATATCAGTATCCACATGTTTCAGCATCACACTGTCATCTCTCTGCCAACTATCACCTAAAACATGAAGCTTTAAGATAAACAATAATCAAACGAATTAAATAAGTCACAAAGTTTAACAAACTTTAGTTTTCAAAATGTATTCACAAAAAAAAAACAAACCTGAACACACTACAACCCAGTGGTCTCCTGTATCTCCTTCTCCATTCTCGCCATAACAACTTATTTCTTGATATCCACTGAGAGGACTTGAGAAGTGATGAGAATGCAAATTCTTTTTTGTTTCTAAATGTTCCAGTCGTATAACAGAACCACATTTAATGGGTTCACCTCGTGAGCAAATTTTTCCAGATTCTGCCTTAAGAACCCAATGACTGTTAATATCTTCCTGTACTTCAGTTGCAGTCACTGACTGTTGCCCACTGCCAGTGCCGTATTTCACGTCATGTGAATGTAATCGAACTCGATAATCAGTATTTAACAATTTTACTACTGAACCACAAGTTACATATTTTTGTTTGGCAGCTGAAAAAATAAAAAGGATGTTAAACTCCAGTTAAATACAGAGCGTAGGGGGTACAAAATGAAAAATTTCTACAGAAATGTGTAAAATAAATTAAATTTAGTGTATCCCCAGTTTGCACCAATCAGAACTAGCCACAACAGAAAATGATAGTAAGTCATATTCTTCAATGGAATCTTCATAGTTTTATTAATTGCATATGTCTTTTTACCTTTTACTTCAGAAATATTCGTAGTAATGCACACAGTGGTTATTAAAGCATAAATTATTTTTCTTAAATTTTTCATCCTTCCGCTCTTTTGCTTGACACTTGACACCACTGAAATGACAGTTGAGGAAAATAGACAAATAATAAATGTCCCTAGAGTATCACCAACCTTATCAATTCTAATGGTGCTAGAAGCAATGAATTGTTATTCCAGCAGATAAGCCGCGACATAAGCGAGAGATAACAGTTATATTATTTATTCCATTATCCTCAAAACTCGGTTTTCCACAGAAACAATGTTAGTCATGTGTAAATTAATTCTCGATAAGTGCACGATTAGTTCTTTAACAAATACCAACCATCACTAAAAGACCTAACTCAAACGACATTATTTTGTTCCAGGCTCTCAATTGTCATCTGCTGTCATGTGTAATTAAATGATGTGACTTTTTAGTGTTCATAGTGCAAACTTCTTCATTTTTAATGCGATGTTACAATTGTCACGGTATATATAGTCCGTAGTAAGTTTTGGTTCCCAAACACAGATTAAATTCTAGTCAATTAATAATGCGCTTCTAATTTTTAATGCAAACCTTTTTGTATAGTGTTTTAATTTAGGGTAGTTAGGGCAAAAAATCCATATCAGTTACTAATCAGGATAAATGCAAACAAGTAAAATAAAATTTGCCAAACCGGGTGATGAGTGCCAGTGAGACTGTTCCTATTCTAGCAAACTCTAGTGTAAACGAAGTGCATAGTGCCTTGTCTGTTGCCTGTAGTGATAGTTCAGCTGAGGACGTACCTTTGGTCCCAGAAGTTATCTTTGAACCAGCATTGGATTCCCCAGGATTAAATAGAGAATCACAGCCTCTCCTAGGAGGGCTTGATGTCTCTTATAATCAGTTTCCAGGTGTATAGATTGTGTAACATACAGATAACTTTACCTATTAAGTATATTAAATTTGTTCTAGATGACCCATTGTTCAGTGAGTTGGTGTGGCAGGCAGAAGTTGCTATTGACAATGGCATTTTTCCGGAACGCATTTCTCAGGGCTCCAGTGGATCTTATTTTGTCAAAAACCCCTCTGGAGTTAGTATCTTTTTAAATACCTTAAATAATAGTCATTTTATGAAAAAAAGGTTGGTGTGACGTTGTGGTGTGAGTCATTTTTGGCGCCAGTTACATAGTGAATTGAAATGCCAGTACATATTATGCGAAAAGCGTTTACCAACATAGTCTTATTGTTATTACAAAAATTGAAAGTACAATCAGATTTATAAAACGAATACGCATTGGAGATTTTCGTGAACGTTGTCGCTGCATTAAAATGTAGTATTTCATTCATTTGTTTTTATTGGTCAGATCACGTTAACAATTTTTATTAAATTGACCTTTAATCGTCTTAAACTATCAAAGGACAAAGTTTTTAAAGATGAAAAGATGAATTAAAATGTAGACTTCATTTTATAGTGATTGTGCTTTTGCATAAGCCTTGCTCTGTGTTTCTTAAATAATTAATTCTTCTTTATTAGCAATAAAGCTGGAGTTGAAACAAGATTGCAAATCAGAGGGCCCTCACATAGGCCTTTTCTTTTCATAAAGGAACGTTTTAGTATTTCCAACAATAATTTTCATTTGCAAATCTGACAAACTGATTTAATTAAACCTCAAAGATGCTTCAACAAGGTAAAATATGTATTAATGTTGACATTACAATTACAAATATTAGCTTATCAAATAAATCAACTGTAGATTTTAAGAGTATGTGAAGTATGTACATACATATAATATACCATATGATCAAAAAAAAATTCCTCTAGTAGGATTGAACAAAGAGCGCGTTGGTGTTGCCAACATCATTATTTTAAAAATACATTACACAGCCTACTGCAGAATTTTTTTATATTTGTAGGGACTTTATATGGAAAATACTACCACGTTTTTTTTTAGTAAGGTCTAAATATGTTTGTTTATTAGACCAATTATTGTTTTTTCATAAAAAATACAGTATGGTAAAATTCCAAAAAGACATAGAATTTTTGTGAAATGATTATCAGGTTTATACCTATATTAGTTTCATTTACTTGAAGCCATATTATAAAAATTCTTATCGTACTAACAGAATTCATCAATATGATATGAAGGGAGAATACACAAGATAAACACGGCTCAGGTGTAATAATACAGATAAAACATTTTTAGTAGATAAGTGAAGTGGTTAGGGGAACCATGAAAAATATGAGTCTTTGGCAAAAAAAATATAATTTTTTACTCAAATTTGAATAAAAATACATTTTTTTTATGTATGTACATAGTTATAAACCAAGTACATCTATACATTATTCCAGTTTAAGTTTATATGGGAGATTTCGCGACCGTGTTATCACTTATCAGTTGTTAATTTTTGTTTACAACTTATCACGGCATATTTCAGAATCTATTTGAAGTTTTGTCTTAATCTACACATTTAACCCCATTTTTACTATCTTTTATTATATCTTGACATGTCTCAAAAACTTGCAAATGCATCATATCAGAATGTTTTGGTGTATAATTTTTACTTCAAAAGGCAAATATTATTGCTATTTTTTTTTTCAAAAATAATTTTACTCGCTCAAGATTTAAGTACATATTTTGTGAAGGTAATAAAGATTTTTTTATTTAAAGTCAATGCCACAATAAAAATTGTTTAGTTATGTTATAGCGAAATTATAATCCATAAAAATTGAATTTTATCATACGAATTGGCAGAGTTTGTTACAATTTTCTAGATTCATGTACCAACATCTGAAAATCGTTTTTAGTAATATACATAAAATGCATTGCTTATGGTTTTTTTAGACTATCAGCTCATGGAAATGGTTATTATTAATTTTTATGTATTTAATAAAAATCGAAAAAAAAATAGAAGATAAAATTGTGGAGGTCTAAATTTTCTCACAAACAGATTACTTTTAGATAGATAAAAATATGAGCCGGCGCCATCTTATTTTTAGAATTAATGTGTTGTGTGTGTGCGCGTGCGCATCTGCGTCTTTCTAGTTAATTATTCCAAAAAATAGAAAATATGTGGCGTACTTGCAATTGTTCGATTGAATTCTAATTTCCATGGATTAATCAGACAACTAAAAAAATTCTACTTTATTTGTTTTTATATTTTCAGATGTTATGACTTAATATTATCACCACTAATGGAATTAGTTCCATAAGTAACGTTTACCACCAACTTTATAAAATATATATAGTATATACGCAAAGATCGTCAGTTGTAAAATCTTTAAAATTGTCTATCTACGTAAACTTGAACTGTTGCAACGTAAAAGAACCAATAACACCGTCTCTTGCTTTTAGACTCCCTAAATGAGAAAATTTTGCAAATCTTTTAAGAATTCCGCTTTTGCAAGCTTCTAAAATTGGTTTAAGAAAAGATTAATTTATGAGTAACAAGTTTTTGAAAATCGTCTTCATAGCAGTACCTAAACAAAACATAATTGTATAGTGGTGTTTTTCTAAATACGTGCAGGATGTCTCGAACAGACACAATTGATTTCAAGATTGTCAACATTCAATTAATTGAGTTAAATATTGCGAATCAAAGTCCTTGAAACGTTGTTTTTGAGTGCCTGGACCTTCAAAGATCTTTTCTTATTCTGAAATATCTAATTAAATGTCATACAAAGAAATCCAGCGTGTAGGAAGCACTTTTTGTAATTTCGACGGACTTGGAACGTCCTGCCTTTTTCCATTAAGCCGTGACAATCAAGTTAGATATGATTATTTCAGTAAATTAAAACGACCTACGTTACTGTGTTTTGTAGTGAGTCAACAGTACTTGCTAATGATAAATCATTTGCTTCATAGACAAATGATAATATGTAGATTTGATGCATTATGTAAATTTATTCTCCTATGTTCTTCAAATGCGGTAACTACATATATATATTCCATTACATTTGATAAGTTTTTGTTTTAATTTGGAATGAATATCTTCCAGAATTGTTGGTATTTTGTCGAATTTTTTATTTCCGAAAAATTATTTACACGAGAGTGCCGCCCGATAAAAATGAAAACAGATAATCTCCCAAACGCCTGGACTAATTGTTGTGGAATTTTAAATGTATTCTAAAAATATTGTATATATGATAAAACACCAACCAAAATTTTGATAAATCCTGTTTTAAAAGAGGATGAAATAGTAGTAGCAACAAAGCATATACAAAAAATTCAGTGATAGTGTTTGAAGCAAATACTAAAAACAAAAAAGTGACCTGTCAGATTTCTTTTTTGTCAAAATGCGTTTTTAATTTTTACTGTTTTCAATATACCTATACATATGTACAAATATATGTATAATATACTACATTGTTTATAGTATTGACAAGTGTTAATTCATATTTCAACCACTGTCATAAAATTAGTATACCTGTTTACAAAAATAAATCGAAATTCATTTCATTTCATCTTAAATATTCATTGACGTTTTGAGGGTGTTAATTTAATAATTTTTAACCAAACAAAATAGCAAGTACATGTAAAATCAATGGCAAATGTTGTTTCTCTGTCACTTACGTGGGGAGTTTTCATTATAAGATTTATGTAATAGATATACATACAAAAATCTCTTGAATTCGTATAAGGAAAACATTGATTTAAATACTTCAATTTATTGCAAATCAAAAAATGTACGATTTTCGATATGAATTCTCCGAAAATAATTAAAATTAAGTATAGTTTCGAATTTTTATATTAAAAAGTTGTTTTTTAGGAATGTAAAGTTGATAGGTGAAAAAATCTGTAACAGTAAAATTAAACACTGCTACCTGTAAGACATGAAACTCTCCTATAAGGAATTACGATTAGTGGCACAAAATTAACAACGTAGTTGCTGACATATCTGTAATCATGTGACACTGCTAATGATAGTGAGTGTTGTTTACTAGTATCAGAAAATACTTTTATTGCAATATATTATTTTTTCGATTGCTCGGTTATTCTACGCTTGCATAATGTAGTCACTATGTTAAGCAACTCTCTGAGCATACATTATGTTGAAGAATTTCGGGGAGGCATTATTTAATGAGACTAAATAATTGCCCTTGGTAAATTCCTCACAGCTTTGAACAGATATCCACATCTCTACAAACCACTGCAGCTATTTTTGTAACTACGTGGTTGATGACTGTATCCGTGATAGATAAAACAAATTGATGGTTCCAAAGTTTTTAATGATGCGAATCCAGTTAAATGTCAGATTAGTATTATTTATCAAAGCAGTGATGAATACCAGTCACGTTAAAAACGCATATAGGAGATAGACACACATCAGACTTAAATTTCGCGACACTTGAAGGAATTAATTGAAACATATTTAATTTTTACTCCCTGAGCGTAACCCAACGAGGTATTGTAATCGAATCCATGGGACGACTGGCTATTTTTATGTTTTCTCGACGTTGCATGACCTATAGAGTTTTAAACAACAGGTTTCCCATTTGAGCCTGTCCGGATTTTTATTGGACAGATAATGTATTATCCAAAGAAACAGTTACAGTACTATGTTGAAGTTATTATTTATCCTGCTTTAAATTCAACTATATTTAACATAAGATAAAAAAGATAACCTTCGACATTGTAGAGAATTTCGGCCTAAAATCTTTGAATGGGTGGTCACCAAATAGAGAATCCAGTTGATTATTTTATACTCGTGTTTAAATTTTTAATTGATAAGGACAAACGAGCGAAAGCAAATTTAGCAACACGGTGTTGCGGTTAATAAATCTGACAATGAGTTCCGCTGTATTTATGACAGTGGGTTTTTACTTCAGTGTTTGTGGCGGCTGCAAAAATCTTTCAACCATCGCATTCAGTTCTGCGTAATCTCTACTGCTTGGCTTGTTCTAAGAATTTAATGTAGTCATATTTATTTGTCTTCGCACTATACATCTACATACACAGTGAAAGACTAGGGAAAAACGTTCTAAATAAAGCACATGATATTGTATTAGCTGACCTTTGACCAAGAGACGTAATTTATTTTGTACTAATGCCACAACAATCACATTTTAAGTTTTTTCGATTTATTATTAAAAATACTGTTGTGTGTTATTTGTACGTGACTATGTATCACCGACACATAATTACCCAATATAGCAATTTTACGGTAGTTAAACGAGTAATGAACTTTTTGTTCATTACTCGTTTTTCATAGAATGCAGTACTTATTTACGTAAATATGGGGTAACTTTGAGACAGTTTGTTAATATTTGTGTTACGCCCATACTAATCAACTAAATGTCTACATTGCTCATGACAGATAGGTAATTAAAAAATCTAAAAAACACAATAATCCTATTGCAATTTTTTTACTAACACTAGCCTTGGTAAAAAAATTGAAGACAATTGAAATAACGTGGCAACGCCTCACCGGAATTTCAAAAAACATAGCACTCTGTATAGTAGAAAATAATTTGGGTATATGATCCTTAAAAAACCGTACAACTTTAGTCCTTAAGCTTTTTTTTCTATTTCTAATAATAATAATAATTAATGAAATATCGAGGAGTGTGATACGGTGACTCACCGTGTACATACATATATCAATCAAACTTTAATGTGCATAACAGATGCATGTAGGAGGTTTAATTACGATTTAAATGCACATTTTATTTTGTCCCCAGAGAAATGCGGCCATCACACTATTTATGAGGTTAATAGGCTTCATTATTCATTGATTTTTGTAGTGTTTATACAAAATATGTTTGTCTAAGTATAGGCTTTTATATGTATATGTTTACTTTTTTATTTTATTTCACTTTTAGTTCGTAGGTTGTACGAACCGTAGATAGTTTCTCATTACATTTTTCTTCCCTTGTGATAAATTTTGCAATTAACCTGTTCAGGAAATAAGGGAAACCGGGAAAAATACTTGTTGACAAAGCTTCTACCGTTTTAAATTATAAAATCAACTGAGAATTAAAATATCTCTGCGTGAGCAATTAAAATAAAAATTAATAAATTTTTCGTTTCTCATTATATTTATAGGATCATTGTAATGAATATCTAATTTTATGACTCTATACTTGTTTAATCATGAACGGTTCACCCCATTTTCCAAGAATTTTGGGAATACAGTGATGTTTTTATTAGTATTACACTGTACCTATCCCAATTCGTATGTGTCCTTGCTAAAATATTGACGACGGCATCACAAAATTTTGTAGCGGGAAAACTCATTTGAAACATACGCATATCATGTTTCGTTACCTTTACTTTAACACTACATTATTTTACCTTGTAGGAATTTTCATAAGAAAATAAAATTCGCAAAGTCAAATTTTATAATAATTATTTGAAAACGTTAACAAAACGATTATGGTAAATTAGTAAATTAAAAGTTGAAGATAATGGATATGGTAATTGCGAAGATTGTCATATGATGCATTGAGAAATTTACATTTTCATATTCACTGAGTTAGAAAAGACCAAAAAAAATAAACGTTCAGATACAATTAGATTGGCCCTATTATAATCGTAAAAACAGAATACGATCAGGATTAATGTGTCTAGCCTGATAAGATAATTCAATAAATCATAATAAAAACAATTCGACATTCTTAAAAAGATTATTGTCGCGTATAAAATAACATTCCTGGACTAAAATTGAGGCACTTTTGCTCAAACATATAAACTAAATTAAGACACAAATACTCGTGTCTGTAGGCACTATATTCAAAAATTATCTTTCACGTATATGTACTAAAAATGTCCAAGGCGCTTAGGTCAATGTCGATAAGGCTATGTCCCAGTTTTTATGCAAATAATATTTCTTAAAGAATAACCGATATAATTATGTAGTTATTCATCGCAGCGAGGTTTTTTGCAGCAATTAATTAATATTAAACGTGTAGCACTACAGTGCAAACCAAAAAGAACATTCAGATTTCAGTTACAGAAATTTATGTATTCAAAATTGGTCTACCATATACTTCATAGACGTATTAAAAATTATGACGTGGTTTAATTAGTGAACCATAAACAATGTTATGTGTATACCTACCTACCAACTAGATAACCAGATGTAATTTCATAGCACTGTTTTTTTTTTGATAAGGATTATTAACTGTAAACAAAACGTAAGCAATATCTTTCTATTAAAATAAATCATTTATAACCACTACATTCTAGACATCAGTAGCTGTACATTGTACAAAACATCAAATAAATATGTTTACGTTGTTTAGTGCAAAATTTAATATGTACAATACTTATTCCGAAGCAATTTATAAAATTTCCAACATGCTTAAAGTTTGTTAAATTTTCTATCGTAATTCGGTAGAAATCAGTGATCATTACATGAAAATTGCTTATTTTTTATGGTTTGACAGCAAACAACGAAGGAATACTATTTTCCATCGGTGGAATTTTTCCCGAACAAAGAGGGAACACAATTTAACAACGTTCCTTCTAGAAATAATTATCTAATGTTCACGATTGTTGTAATCACCAACGGATCTCTTTTTTTTTTCATATTACTGACATACAGTTGAATCATAACTGCGTTTTTAACATTCGACTAAAATTATTAGTATAATTCTATCAAAATTACTTGAAGTTCATATGTGAGTGAAAATATTTTATAATTTTCGATGGCTTTTTCTCGGTGACTACTTCGATACACCATGAAGTATTTTATTCATTACGAATTATTCATTTCAAGTACATATAAAGCTTTGACCACCTAGCGATCTACTCGGTCAAACTGACCTCAACTTAAGTCACCAAAACACGAATCCAAATCTAAATCTGACACGAACTTAAGTAATGTTGTACATACCTATAACCACATAGATATAACTTTAATTTTAAAAATTCAAGGTATTTCCAGGTACTCAGTGGAAACTTTATTGATTTGACAATATATTTTGCACGCTGTTTTTATGTGAGTGTCTATAAATGATTTACACCTCGTTTAAAAAAAAAACATGATTTTAGACTAAAAGAGTTTGCCGCTTGTAAAAATGATGCCCTTACGTAAAATTTTATTTTTACAATCAAATTTAAGTAAGGCACAAATTATCATTCTCAAATAGATTTTGAAGCAATTGTTGGTTAATATAATTTGTTACTTTACTTCGTAGTTTTAAAAACTATTATGTTTGAAGTGACCAAATAAAGAAAACTCAAGTGGCGCTAAATCAGGAGATCGTGCAGGCCATACAGGTTGTAAACCTCTACTGACGATCCTGTTATCAAACAACCATTGCAAATATTCTAAACTTGTGCGAGTAATAGGTATGTGCTGTCGCACCATCTTGTTTGAATTAACCAAATTTTAATTCGTCATCTAGCAATTGCATAATAAATGGGTTCAACCAGTCTTCAGCATGAAACCGCTGTGCACACGCCTGTTTTAATTGGGTGTCAATTATGTTGCTTAATTTTGATTAATTTCAAAGAGGCGGCAAAATTTCTTTTTCCAATAGTATTGCGTTGCATGAATTATTTATAAAATAGATACTGTGTATTTTACACTAATGTAAAGTGTATGTCGTAATTAAAAAAGTCACCGAAATAATATATTTTTGAATTCTTTCCTGACATGTACATTGTTTAAAAAGTAGTCTTTGTACAACTGCTTTAAAAGCTTAGGTTTGCGTACGTTTGAATTTTTTAACAAGTAATCCGTAGTGGTTAATTAACAGTTACCATTGTAAAAATTGACCTTATGAATTAACCTTTCGTGTTGGTAGCGTTAAATAGAAAGTGAAAAATTTCACACGAGTTACATTTGACATGTGTTAGCGAATGAAAATTTGAACACACACAAAAAAGAGGAATCGTCGTTAAAATATTTGAATGGTAATACATAAGGTATTACGATGATGTGGCAACAAATTTAAATTATAGTAAAATCTCCTGAATTTTGACGTTAGCGCAAGGAATATTTTAATTATAAGGAATAAAACAAAACACATTTGAAATAAGTACAATCGACACATATTCAGTACTATCAAAATCAAAATAAGGTGAATAGATGTTCAAATTCAGCTATACGAGATTATTATTAAACCTGTAAGAAAATATTAAAGCCCTCCCGTTATTGAGTCTGCAATGATATTAATTTAAGTGGTAATCATTTCCAAGGTCCTTTCCCCTAAAATGGATCGACGTTTATGACTAGTTTAAATGCCATGAATAAACTATTATAAATCTCGAATAACCAATTATGAAGTGTGGATAATGTAATAACTTAAATAAAAACATCCAGAATAGTATTGTATCCTTACGAAAAAAGATTTAAGCCTGAATAAGTGAATTTCCTGTCACGTGTTTTCAAGGAACACTTCCTTTTTTGTAGTTAAATTACATTAGAACCATGAACAGTTAAAAATCTTAACATGAACTGTGAATCTACAATCATTAAAACAAAAATAATACGAGTGTAATTAACTAATCTTAACAATCGCGTCGAATGCGGCTCATTTCTGTTTAAACAATTGTCCTTTTGTGAAATTACAAGCTGAATTAATAATTTGCACGACGTTGGCGAATTTCTTTGTTGTTCCATTAAAGACGATTAGGTACAGTCACTTGTCATTGTTTAATAGAAGAAAATAAGTAATAAGTTAAAAGTACATCTTTATACCTAGGAAATAGAATATAACGAAAGTAACTCATTATTTAAATTTTTAATACAAAAAAATGTAAAAATGCATTGGATTTCCATAAGAACAAATATTATATCTTTACCGAGTATTTTAAAAACTTAAGTTTGTCCAATAGGGCAGATGTGTGGCTTTAAAAATTTCAAAATTAATTACCTTGAAAAATGCAACATCAGCTCACAATTCGCATTAGCACCAGCAATTGAAACTTCGTAAAACTAATATGTTCTTTGTGTACCAGAAAATCATCGCAGTTTTCAAACCCAAAGACGAAGAACCCTATGGTCGCTTAAATCCCAAATGGACAAAATGGATGCATAAACTATGTTGTCCCTGCTGTTTTGGAAGATCCTGTTTGATTCCAAATCAAGGATATTTATCAGAGGCAGCCGCATATTTAGTTGATTCTAAACTCAATCTCGATATAGTACCCAAAACGAGAGTAATGGAATTGTTTTTTTGTTTTGTAGGCTCTTAATAATTTGAGATTTTTTAGGTTGTAAAATTAGTGTCAGAAACATTTAATTATCCTAGGATAGACAGGCAAAAAGCACGGATGAAGAGAGCGATAATGGAACAGTTTCCAAATGTTGGTTTAAGATTTAATAGGATAGGTCTCCCACCAAAGGTTCTATTTCTTATTTGCATATGTGCAGCAGTGTTAATTTGGAATTGGAATTTTAGTGTGGTTCATTCCAATTGTTTGTAGATGGTTATAAAGACGCAGATTATTGGTTACGGAGATTTGAGGTCGAACCACTGCCTCCAAGAATGGCACAGAAGTTTCAACTTCAGTTTGAACGTTTAGTTGTTTTAGATTACATTATTAGAAACACAGATCGTGGAAATGATAATTGGCTTATAAAGTATGAACAACCAACAATTTCAAATGGAAATGGGCCAGTGGAGTTAACAGAAACGACAGACTGGAATGTAGTTAATTTCCCAGAGATAAGCATTGCTGCGATAGACAATGGTTTAGCTTTCCCTTACAAACATCCAGATAGTTGGAGGGCTTACCCTTACCATTGGGCATGGTTACCACAAGCCAAAGTTCCGTTCAGTAAAGAAACGAAAGATCTTGTTCTACGACCGTTAGCTGATATGAATTTTGTACAGGACTTATGTGATGATTTATATTTACTATTTAAGCAAGACAAAGGATTCGATAGAAGTTTATACGAAAGACAAATGTCAGTAGTTAGGGGCCAAATTCTTAATCTTACACAAGCTCTAAAAGATGGAAAGTCTCCAGTGCAACTAGTTCAGATGCCGGCTGTTGTTGTGGAAAGGTATAAAGTTATATGTATATAATTATTAGTTGTCTAATTCGTACGTTTCAGATCACAAAGCCAACAAACAAATCGATTTTTCAACTTTACACAACGCTTCCAGGATAAAAGCCCCTTCTTCTCATGGTGTTAACAGATTGTTTTTATAACTACATAAAAAATAGGCCAGAGGTTTTTAATACATTATCTTATACAGTACTATTGCTGTTATTTTAACTAGAAAATTTTTTAATGAAATCATTGTGAGATTTATTTTCCTGTCAATTAAGTTAAAAAAGAAACTGAGTAAATTATTTATTAAACGAAAACAGAGGTACTACAATAAAACGTATATTAATAATCTTGTGATTTTACTGATCTCCTAAATAATCTGTTCTTACTTTTTCTGCCCTTGGATCATCATGACGAATAACAGTGTATTTCTCTTTATATCTTCTATTATCTCCGTCTATAGCGTTGTAGTAGTAGAATACACTTCCAGTAGCCATTGCAATACCAATTAAACCCATTATACCACTGCCAATAATGTCTGGAATTTCATTCCAACCTCTTTTGAGTAAACCCATGCTAGCTCGACCTGATACAGAAGCCATTGTATGGGACTAGCTATTTAATACAATTGTTAAAAATTGCATAGGAGCAGTTTATATTATTTGTTACCTGTTGTCTGTAAGATATTAGTCCTTTTTTTTAATTACTTTTTTATATTATAACAGAACAAATAAATTGTCTATGACATAACCATAACAGACAAATGGTAATGACACTAGTGACAGAACTGACAGATACAGAACGCTTGTAATCAGAAATGAAAAGTCCCTACAAAGAAACACAAAAAACAGAGCCCCCTGGTGTAGTAATGACACAACTAACAAGAAGGCACGTAGTTTAAAAGTTAAATCATGGCCGACTCCATTAATCTCTAAAGAGATATGGCCGTTCCATTCGGCATTTTTTGGCAAGTACAGCAAGTATGCCATGAAGTGACCCTAAACTGGCGGACTCTGGTGGTCCTTACGCATATTAATTTTTAATTACAGATTTCTTTATTGACTGACATTGATGTTTTATCCTAATTTGAGCGGTAATTGCAAATAAATCGTCAGACATGAAGAAATGTTATTTATGTGGGAACAGTACTAAACCTTTCTTTGGATTTCCAGGTGACAAATATTTAAGAATCAATTTGTGTAAGAATATTGAACAACATGCAGAAATTTATTCCGCTACTGTCCCTTTTTAGCAGGGTACATTATAAAAAAATTAGATGACAAATTTCACTGTGATGATTGTCTTTCTCCGCTATTATCATTTGAACTTCCTGGACCTCTCTTAAAATTAATTTTTTTACAAGATCGTGGGGGACTAACTTATCCGAATTTTCGTTTTGTAGGGGTTGTGAAACAAATATCGGACATTGCATTGAAAATTTTTCCACTTTTAAAATTTGAAAGAGCTTGTGAACAGTTGCTGAACATAATATTTCCTCACCTAGAGAAGAACCCTCTATTTAAATGTGAAAAACATAAACGTTTAGTATGTAAATTTGTTGTAACAACAACTGTAAAACCTGTTTTGGACAACATATGTCTTGAAACCACAGATTGATTAGTCAGTGGTCAAGACAAAACTGTTGCAGCACAAACCAGTCAGCAAAAAGGTTCTAAAGTTGTAATTTTCTTTTTGTTATTATTTAGTGCATAGGTATTCAGGTATATCTACTTACATTAATATGATTAGAATTTTCCATTGCTATTTTTATTTATTCCATTTGATATAATAAAATTAGTTCTGTTATAAACATTCCTGATCTGAATTTATTTGACGTTATTAAATTACAAATTGTCAAAATTTAATGACAACTCGATCGGGGTTGTATTTTTTTAACATTTCCATTGTCAGATGGCACCACTTTAGAGAACTTTTCAATTGTTTGGATAGCCAATTTGTAAATGCCGATTGGAACGGCCATATCTCTTTAGAGATTAATGGAGTCGGCCATGGTTAAATCACGGTTAAATCCATAGGTTAAATCACGAGTTAAATCTTTCTATGGTTAAATTTGTTGACAGGCGACAGATATTATAGTGGTAATTCGTTTCGAATCAAATTTTCGCGTACAAAACTTTTGGTAAGAAAAGGGGTAGAAATGGAAAGAAACGAAAACCACTCAGAGGGAGATGCGCGGAGGGTTGATTTAGAGAAGGGTGAGTGGACACGTCATATTGACTTGATCTTACCACAGACTCTTACTCCTTTTACTTTCGAGCCTTTCGTGTAAGACGTCAAGTTGGTGCTCTCTGTGTTTTCCAAGTGTCTGTGCGTTGTTTGTTTCCACGTGTTTGGGTTTGGAGATCCGAGAGGTATGTTTTCCACCTGTTCTGTGCAGGGCCTAAATTAATGTGCACTTCTACACATTTTGTGCAGTTCAAAAATGCATTTGTGCAGCTGGAAATTGCAATTTGTGCAGCAATTTTTTCACATTATTAACATTTTTACTTTGTACTTCCCGAGCGTAAGCTACCACTACTGACGCCGGTTCATCCCTTCACCGAAAAGAATCGAGGAATTTTTATGATTTTGTTTGTCAAGTTGGGACCTCAAGAAACCCCAGATGTGCTATTTTCGCTCTGTCACGTACCTACTTAACAATAACACTTGTCTCAGTGATTTCGAAAAAGTGCACAACAAAAATTTATCAGTCGTAATTGCGGAGTCGTACTGCCGTCACAGCTGTTATCACTTTGGTTTTTTCTTGCATTGGTAATGCGCTGTGACTAATTTTCTTTTGTGCTATGACAAGTATTATTTACCTTATTGGCGTCATCACAATTTTTTTATTGATCCAATTAAGAACGTGTCACCACATTTTCTCAAAAATATGAGAATACGCAAGTAATTATGAAAAATGTAAAGTAATAATGACAAAATAAGAATTATAATAATAAAATTCAGAACATTTTGTTCGATTGTGGCTTAATTAATTATTTTAGTCTTCTGTTTTGGGAAGACAACACACAAACTTTTGTGATGTACCTTTAAATAGTGATATATGTATGTATTAATAGTGTCGGTATAATGCCTGTTTTAGATTTTTGTTTTTACAATATATTTGCGTTTTGCTATTATTTATTTATTATTAATGGTGTAGGTATTCTCATAAAATCGACAAAATCATTTAATGTGGGGGGGGGGGGGGGTAGGTAGAAGTAGTATTGAGGACACAAGGGGGTTATTGCGATTGTGCAGTTGGAAATTTTCCTTAATTTAGGCAGTGGTTCTGTGTTTTCCACGTTATTCCTTGTGTGCTGGTGTGGACGAAGCAGCGTTGCTTCTCGATGGTTACGGAGCAGGTGAGACGCGGGAATCCCGCGTATGTGAGCTTCGCGTGTGTGACCATATCCACGCGTTCCGACTTTCCAAAATGGCAACGCTCCCGGATGACGCCGTGGCCGTCAATTTGCGTACTAATCTTTCAACACAATTTCAATTCGTTGTGGTAGGAGTTTTCAGGGAATTAGTTACCTTAGCTAGAGCAGTTTTATTAGTTAGCAAATGTTATGCGGAAACTTTTTGGATGGCATTTTTCGAGTTTCAGGTCTCTTATGGTGAAACTTGGATATTGGTTGTTATTATTAGATAATTGAAAAATAACCAAGAAAAAAGTTCAAAACGATAATTGGATGTGTTCCCTTGAATCAACTTGAATCAATCTTGCAAATGTTCAGATTATTGGAAAGTAACAAGTTCGATCTATTACGGTGACATTTGACTAAAAAGCCAATATTGGTTGTCTGATTAATTAAGATGGTACAGACGTCTGAACAAAGTTGGTTATTAGAATTTTTTTTTTATTTTATTTTATTAATTACGTCCCCCAACAGGCACTGAGGCCCAATTACAGGGGAACGGGACATACACGTTACACCCAGAGCCATGGCGGGAATCGAACCCACGACCCAAGGTGTAGCGGGCAAGCATGATGCTAACTAGCCCACCCCGGGTCCTCAAAATTACGTTACAAGTATAAAAATGCACGTTTTTTATAATATTAAAATTTTCTAGACAACGCTATAATTTGGCAAAAAAAAACTTTGAGCGATGCTTCTAATCCCTTAACGCTTCTTGAAGGAATTTTCAAATCTGTATACAGATTTTCACGAGAAAATGTTAATGAACTTATACAGCTCGTTAGCCCGTATTGTTTACCTCCACGAGTTCGGGAAGGTATTGCACTACCACTGCTACCAGACCCTTTGATTGTTCTTTACACCCTACATTTTTACTTCCCGAGTGTAAGCGAAGGAAGTATTGTAATCGAATCCATCGGCCGACTCTCTACTTTTACGTTTTCTCGACCTTTTATGACCCCTACAGGACGAAGAAATAGGTTTTCCGTTTCCGTGTGTCTGTCTGTCCGTTTATCTGCCGTTATGGATTTTTATTAGACAGAATATCTTCGAAAGTACTGAGCCGATTGTTGTCAAATTTTGTATTTATATTAGGAATATCATGTGGATGGTAAAACGCTAAAAAAAATTTCTCTAATCATCCCCACCACTAATACGATGACGTCACTTCAAAATTGTACATAGTAAATGGGTTTTAAATTGTATAAAATAACATAGTCCTATATATGTAGCTTACGACTTCGAGTTTTTACCGTAGATCATATAATATTTATTATATGATCTAAGGTTTTTACCCGAAACGTCCAGATTATTGGAAAAAAAATCGAAAATATAAAACAACATTTTGCAATTTAATTTTGAATCTGCTAAATCGAATGCTTTGAAATCTTGCAGATATTTTAAAGTTATAAAGAGCATAATAAATTTTTAGTCAAAATATATATCCGTAAATTTATTTTATTGATTTACTCAGGAACTACAAAACCAAATGCTTTAAAATTTTGAAAATGTTTTAAAGTTATCATAAGCATGGTAAATTTTTGATCAAAATGTATTTGCTCATCCCCCCTAAAAAAATTGATGACGCCACCCCAAAATTTTGCTGAAAAAATGTAAAGAATGATGAGTCTATACTTGTGATTTATCACTGCATTAATATTTTTTAAATTTGTTTATACTGGGTGTCTGAAAAAAATTAATGGCTGAGTCAATTTATTTTATTGATCAAATCAAGAACTGCAGGACTGAATACTTTGAACTCTTGCAGACGTTTTAAAGTCATTCTAAGCATGGTAAATTGTTAATCAAAATAAATGTGTTTATTTCCCCCAAAAAATTGATAACGTTATCTCAAAATTTTGCGGAATAAATTTTACCCAAAATGTGCAAAATATGATAAGTTTTTACTTGTGATTCATCATAGCATTCATATTTTTTATTGATCAAATTAAAAACGACTCACCCCATTTTCCCGAAAATGTGAAAATACAAACATCTTTATTTAATAAGAAGAATTATAATAATGGTATTCAGAACATTTTGTCGATTATAGCTTACTAGTTCATTGTTTTGATCCTCTGTTTTGAGGGGACGAACTCATTCAAATCAAACAATTTCTACGTGACATTCTTCCGATGTATAAACATAAACACTTTTAAGTTGTTTTTCTTATCGAGGTTAACCTAAGGACGTACAGTAATGAAGTCGAAGTCCATTGCTCAATTTGGTACTTTCAAATTTTCTCGATATTTCATAAGGCCGTAGCTAGGGGGAGGCTAGTACTAGACAAGTTATAATTAACCAAATGTGAATTACAGCATCCAAAAAGTAAATAAAATGTAGTGTTTTATTCAATAAACGGAAATCAGAGCAATAGAAAAGTCTGGACCTACATTTTTTAGTTTAGTTTCTGTTTTACTCTCACGTCTACAAGTTGATAAGTGTTATCACTATTTGTCTTAAATTACAAGTACTATACAGGGTGTTCATTTTATCTGTTCACACCTGACAGTGTTTGCATAGGCAACATATATACATATTATACATCCCAGAGACGACTTCGTCCAATTTATTTTTTTTTAATAAGTAATCATAGCAATCGCAGAAAAAAATTACAAAGATGTCATTGCCAAATAATAACAAAATTGAGTTGTAATGCGAAAAAAAAAGATAATACGTCACCTTAGAACTGGTTTGCCGCATATCCAGATCGCGTCCGAGGGATTTTCGCCTCTACTGCTTGGTGCAGATTTGCCGCATGTCGCACTTGGGCGAAGCGAAACATAGTTTAGATTCAGTGCTGATTTGCCGCATGTCCAAGCAGAAATCGATACAGTACCGTTATCCGTTTTTACGTACTTCCTTGCTGTTTTGATTTTCAGCGTTAGGTTTGGGGTTGGGAAAGAAATCGTATTCAACTTCACGCGCAGAACAATAAGAATAATGTGAAATAAATAAAAAAGAGACTTAACAATTTTGATGAATCTGAAATTAAAAAAAAGCAACTGTAATTTGTGCAACTCTTTTTCTGTTGTTATAGATGTTACAAATATTTTCAAATTATTAGATTCGAAATTTTACAAATTTAAATTTCAAATAGATTTGTTGTTCGATAAACAAATAATTTAATTTTTTACTAAACAGTAACATTTTATTAACGATATTTCTACATCAATAATCACAAATAATAGATACATTTTTAATTTTTTAAATTAAAATGTTGTAAAAGTAATATGAAAATTAAAATTTCGAAGCAAAATCTGTTTAGGTGGATTTTGCTTCGAAATTTATTACTGGAACGTTTACAAAAATCAGCTTTTGACATAAAATGCTTGCAAATTTGAAACAGAATTGGAATGTTTCTTGACAATCATGCCTAATACATTTTTGACTTGTATCTTTTAAAAAGAATTATTTTCGAATTTATAGCTATTTACAATTTACGACTTACTTCAAGAACAAATTCCGGATTAGAATTTTACCTATAATAACTAAATAGATGCATGTTGTTAACTTATATAAGGTACCTTACATCGAAACGAGTAATTTGTTTTTTAATATGACATTGCCTTTCTTTATCATTCTATTTGTCTAACAATTATTGTTGTGCAATTATACGCGTGTAAATAAAAATAACTTTACAATAACTTATTTATGGGTAAATTTTTTTACCAATTAATTTAACTGGATGGTTATATGTAATGGTAATAATAGCCGCATAAAATTCACTCACTGTTTAGGTATACCAGATATCAAAAGCTATTAAATCCAAATGTTATTGTTTATTTTTTTTTATGTCTCGAGCGTAAGCTAAGGAACTATTGTAATCAAGTTCATCGGGCGACTGGCTACTTTTATGGCTTCTCAACGTTTCATGACTCCTATAATACGAAAACATAGGTCTCTCGTTTCCAGTTGATAAAACGCTGACCAACATTTGTAATCATCCTCCCCATCATATAACGTCATCTCCAACTTTTACAGCAATAAATGTTATATGATTTTTAAAAATAACATACTTTTTCATTTGTTGTTTATTGAGTTTTTACCCTAAGCACCCAGATTGAATTAAATTACCATAACCCTAATTTCTTGAGATTTTGGAACCAGGATATACGACATAAAGAAAGTTAAAAGAATTTGAAGTAATGTAATGATACTCTTTTTACATCAACATACTATTATTTATCAATTAATTGAGCATCGTCCAAAATACTGTTCATAAATTATAAGTGCAGGAAGTTTATGCAAAAACATGCAAATACATTTTTTGCGTATAATAATATGTATTGCTTTATTATTAAGTATCTACTCATTTATAAGAATTATTAAAATTAGTAAAAAAAAGTATTCACGTCTCTGTCTAGTTTAATACCTTACCTTATTAAAATAATAAGTTTAATCAATTATGTAGTTAGCAAACAATGACGTTTAATTTATACTTAGTAGGGTTCACGGCATGTTTAATTCGGAGTTATAATTTGAGAATATAATTTACCCGTTTATTTATTTTTGTAGTTTAGTAGTACTTCAGCAAATTTAGAAAACTGTATGTTATTTAAAAATACGTGACAAATCACGAGGCCAGGCAATCTAGAGATCTGACTGCTGGTTTGCGCGGGAAATACTGCATACTTTTTAGATAAAAAGGAGTCTATGATAAGCGCACGTAGGAGATGATAGACAGAGAGCTAATATTTAGAGCTAATGTATTGGAAAGAAATAGGACAAGTTTACGTGCGCACACCACAGCCTCCCTTTCTTCTCTAAACAGTTTGGGATCATACCATAGTATCATAAATAATAATTGACAAAGAGTTCGCAAAGGAATCCAACGGAAATATTTATACAATTGTTTACAACTACGAGTACAAATAATTCTTTCATTTTCAACTGAAAAGCGTATAACTATATTAAGTACTAGATATTATGGAGTTAGGGGTAATCAAATAGATTTGGGTTGCAGTCAACATAATTGTCACTGATACATAAGACATGGTAACGAATGATTTATTTCCAAATCCAAATATACTGCATTTACAGTTTTAAACAGTATCACTGCTAATTTTCTCTGGTTGCCCGACAATAGCTACTTGTAGTCAATATCCACGTAATCTAATAAAATACTGGAATCCAATTGTTTGAGACAACAACCTATTTTTACCCGAGTGTTCTTTATCAGTTTGAATATTTTATATAAAAAAAAATACATATTAAGCTGCAATTTTAGTAGGACTGCAGCGAGTCAACGAGCCGCCTTTACTCCGCCAATGCAAAGAAAATATCATTTTATTATCCTTTGTAAAAATAGTTCCTTTCTGTAAAACACATTTAAATTTGGTACTCCGTATTTCGTTCACAATTCACCATTTAACAATGGAAATTAACAATGCAATATTTGGATTCTACAGTTTTTAGGAAAAATGAATGACTGCAATGAGTTTTATCAAATGTAGATTTTATATAAAAATAAAGAAAAATAAGTCTCTTTATTTTAAAAATATTTAGAAAAAATCGAATCAAAACATCAATAACTTAACATTCATTGTTCGTTATACTTAGTTAACTACTTCACCACGAGATTTCTAATATCGTTTCAATTTTTCATTTATTTCACATTATGAGTCCTTGCCGTATTTCTTGTTCTGCGCGTGAAGTTGATTAAGAAATCTTAATCTTAATTATCTCTGAAAAATGTATCTATTATTATCTGTAATTATTGATGTGGAAATATCATTTCCACAAATACGAATATAGGTATGCAGCATTATGAATTTTGTTGACTAAAATTTTATTGAAAATAAGTTCAATCATTTCCGAGAAATCATTAAATAAAAATGTTACTGTTAAGTAAAAAATTAAATTATTTGTTTAACGAGCAACAAATCTATTTGAAATTTAAATTTGTAAAATTTCGAATCTAATAATTTGAAACTCAATCTTTCTTAAAAAAAAAAATCGAAAATATTTGTAACATCTATAACAACAGAAAAAGAGTTGCACAAATTACAGTTGTTTTTTTTAAATTTCAGATTCATCAAAATTGTGAAGTCTCTTTTTTATTTATTTCACATTATTCTTATTGTTCTGCGCGTGAAGTTGAATACGATTTCTTTCCCAACCCCAAACCTAACGCTGAAAAGCAAAACAGCAAGGAAGTACGTAAAAACGGATAACGGTACTGTATCGATTTCTGCTTGGACATGCGGCAAATCAGCACTGAATCTAAACTATGTTTCGCTTCGCCCAAGTGCGACATGCGGCAAATCTGCACCAAGCAGTAGAGGCGAAAATCCCTCGGACGCGATTTGGATATGCGGCAAACCAGTTCTAAGGTGACGAATAGTCATGTAGTCGTCACATTTCCGATAGCGAGGGAAGCAATGTCTAAACTCTTTAGACCATTTTTTTTTGCATAAGGGAGTTACCAAAATTGGTCGCTCAAGATTTTAGTTTTCCGATGAGTCAATCTTCTGTCAGTAATTGTATTACAGCAGTGACAAATGTACTCAATGAAGATTTTGCCCATTTTGTGAAGTTTCCAGTAACGGAAGCAGCAAAAAATTATGAACAAGCAAAATTCTTCAATATACTGAATGGATTTCCTGGAATAATAGGTGTTATTGATTGTACCCAAATTAAAATCTTTCCTCCACCTATAAATGATAAAAACCCAGGGATCCTGTTTGTAAACCGCAAGGGATACCATAGTATAAATACTCAATGTATAGTTGCTGCAGATTTAAAACTTCTGGCCATAAATCCAAGATATCCACGGTCAGTTCATGACTGCGATTTGGGCGACAAGTGCTACTCGAAACCATTTACTCGCAGGGATGGGTTTGAAAATGGTGACAGAAATAGTTGGCTCATTGGGGACTCAGGGTATCCACTTGAACCCTGGCTCATGACACCAGGGCCACGTCGAAATCACAATGAGCAAGAAAGGCAATACAACAATTCACAGCACATAAACATGTCCACAACGTTATTGAAAGAATTATAAACGCCTGTGCTATTTTGCGTAACTTTTGTATCGCTCGAGAGGATGAAGGGAATGAAGCAGAAGTGCCAAATCACAACCATTTTTATAACGAAGGTCAAAGCACAAGACAAAGAATTATCACTCAGTATTTTTAAAATTCAAATAATTTTATTAATCTTATAATAGATTTATATTATTCTTTGCGTTGCAAAATTTTCACCACGTGTGAGTAAAGTAAATTCAAACGTAATCTGAACAAGCGAATCTTTAACAAAATAACGCCGAGAACGAAATGCCATTAGTAAAATTAATAATCTCGTGGTCTGGGGGACGGGAGGTTTTCTTGTATGCGTTAGCTGCGTCCCCTTGATAACACCGTTCAACAATTACGTGGGAATCGCATCACCGAGATGTTATTCCCGCGCCGAGGGAGTCGTACTCGTCAAACGCCGATTTTCGACCACCGCCTGGATATTTTTGTGTTTATTTATCTTGTGTTTGCGTTGGGGTAAGCTGGGATCAGTGCACGATATAAATCTCATCTAAGTTTCGTGTTTAAAATCATTGATAAAACATGAATAATTTAATCTCATTTAATTTTCTTTGGTGTTTAAAATGTTGATGGAGTGTGGCCTGATTAAATTCTGTTTGTTGCTTTGTCTGGAATCCAAATAGGTACTCATTTTGCTAGCTGGAATTTAACTTGGGGGTCGTGTGGCGCGGACGCGGTGACGGAGCCGGCTCCGTGCGAGTGTTTACGGCTTTTGCCGGATTTCCAACCTTAGCGGACTCGGAGTTTACCCAGCTGGCTTATTTGCGGGGACGGGAGTCAATTCAAGGCGGGAGGTTTGGGTAGTCGCACAATTGGTGCCGCGTGCCCAGCATGCAATGTCGACGTACTGCACTGGAAGAGTGTACTTTGCATAAGTACTTATCTGTTTTTTTTTCTCATCTAATAGGTGGTAATCAGCTAAGTCGACATGGATGGCAGCAACAACAGGAGCAGCGGGTGGCAAGTGGCGGAGTGGCCAGCTAGCCAACTCCAACAAACGAGTTCCCGAAGTCCGCGACGAGACGTGGCAGAGCACGGCGAACAGCCGAACTGGAAGCAGATCGCCTTATCGCTAGAACAACTGCTAGCCGCAACAACCCGCCCTTATTTTTCAGGGAGCTCGCCAAAGAGAGCGTTAGAATTTCTGAACGAATTCGAAGAGTTCTTCAAGGAGAGCTACATCCGGTCCCCGGATAAGCTGAAGGAGGTCCTGTGGTGCCTCAAGAGAAGTGCGAAAGAATGGGCCACGGCCAATAGGTGGAAGTGGCAGAATTTCGACGATTTCCGTAGCGATTTCGTCGAGTTCTTCTGGCCGCTACATCGCCGATGGGCCGAGGCAGAGAAAATTCAGAACACGCCATACGACCGAACCATGATGGGTGGATGGTAGATTTCTTCATCAGGGGCTACGGTGCTCTGCACTCCCTGTTGCTTTCACTCTCCGAGAAGGAAATCCTGTCTAGCATGATGAAGCTGTTCGGGGAGCTGATCTGGGAAGTGTGGTGCAAGTTGCTACCACGGGAGAAAACGTTTTTCCGTGCTCAAGAGTTTCTGCTGAGTTTTGGGCCGACTTCCCTTCCACGACGAAGAAGTCGTGATGCTTCCCCTCCACGACGAAGACGTCGTGATGATTCCCCGCCACGACGAAGGCGTCGTGAAGTCTCCCCTCCACGACAAAGGCGTCGTGATGCTTCGCCCACACAGCACAGGCGTCGAGACGCTTCCCCACGACGAGCCGCAACCCCCACGGTATCGTCGATGGCGCCTTTCGACCCGTTTTCCCTGCCGCCACCCAACGTTCTGGGAAACGCCAGGAGGATGTGTTAACCGGGCAGAGATGTCTTCCCTCCACGGCGAGGCCCCAACATTTCCCATTGTTTAATTTCGTGCCGAACTTCAAGGGAAAAGTCATCTTCGAGAGTATGTGAACTTCGCGTTCCGACTTTCTAAAATGGCGACGCTCCCGGATGACGCCGTGGCCGTTAATTTACGTACTACTCTTTCAACACATTTTCAATCCGTTGTAGTAGGGCTTTTCAGGGAATTACCTTAGTTAGGGCAATTTCATTTAGCAAATGTTATGCGAAAAGTTTTTGGATGGCAATTTTCGAGTTATTATTTGCGTTGCATAATTTTCACCACGTGTGAGTAAAGTAAATTCAAACGTAATAACAAAATAACTCCGAGAACGGCATTAGTAAAATTAATAATATCGCGGTTGGGGTAAGCTGGGGTCAGTTCATGATATAAATCTCATCTAAGTTTCTTGTTGTTTAAAATCATTGATAAAACATGAATAATTTCATCTTATTTCATTTTCTTTGTTGATGGAGGGTGGCCTGATTAAATTCTGTTTGTTGCTTTGTCTGGAATCCAAATACAGTAGAGCTCTGTTATAACGTCCTTCACATAAAACGAACTCCTGCTTTTAACGAACGGATTTTTTGGTCCCGTCTAAAGACCCATATAAACAATGCATTTTTTAATCGCATACAACGAACATCGGTTTTAACGAACACCTGTTTATAACGTACGAAAATCAATAACTATACTGCTTATAACGAACTGTTGAACATAAGATCGGCTTTAAACTTCTTAGAAACAATTCCAGACGGAACACAACAACATCCGGAATGCAGCAGTCAGTTGTGTTTTAACTTCGTTAAGACAATGGGGCTTAATAACAGAAAAAGACTTTCGTTAACTTTGTCTACAAAAATAGATATAATCGAAAAACCAGAAAGAGGTACCTTTAATGTTGACCTCTGCAAAGAATTTCACCTATCCAAATCCTCTGTGTGAACAACATGGGGACAACGAGAAAAGATCCGATCTGCAAACTCTAGTAAGAATTTGAAAAAAACTTAAGCGGCTTTGTGATCCGGTGAGGAAAGACATAGATGGTGCTCTTCTAAAATAGTTTAGCCAGCAAAGAGCTTATAATGTTCCAGTAAGTGGAGAAGTTCTTCGGCAGAAAGCAGAAGACCTTGCAAAAGTAGTTGACAATTCACTAGGTGAGAAGATTTTCAGAACGGACTACAGTTGTTACAAATAGGATGTAAAAAACACTACTTATCAGAGTTAAGCATAACAGACTTTTTCAAAAAATAAAATTACATATTTAAAACTTTTTTTGTGCTAAACAATCTAGTTTATTACATCTTTTTTAAAGTTAGTGTTCAATAGCATATAAAACACAAATTTCTTTGGTTATACTTTTAGTACGTACAATCGTTTATTACGAACACGAATTGCTGTCCGTAGGTCGTTCGTTATATCAGAGTTTTACTGTACTCATTTTGCTAGCCGTAGTTTAACTCGGGGGTCGTGTGGCGCAGACGCGGTGGCGGAGGCGGCATCGTGCGATTTCCAACCACAATTTCCAACCTTAGTGGACTCGGGAGTTTACCCAGCTGTGCTATTTGTAGGGACGGGAGTCAGCCTTAGCATGCGGGTGCATAAAACCACGCGCAGGAAATGGCGATGCTAAACCCATGTGAGCCTTCGCGGGGAATACGGTTGTCGCCCTGCACCCGCTGTGCAACCCCATGTTGTTTTGTACAGGCTACACTATCGTAGTATCTGGAATGTTGCCATCCATTTGCTTTGCCTAGAATCCCGCGTCTTTTTTTTTGTTTATTGTACCTGTGAGGTAGCTAATATTCTGTCTATGTTCTCAGGTTCGAGCAAGAATAAAGGTTTTTTTTTCTTTGAGGAATAAATTCTTTCAGTTCTTGTGGGGCTCATGTTCCCGGCCCCGTGAGCTCTTATTGAGTTTATTTCTCATTGTTTTTTTTTCCTTATATAAGATTTTTAATTATTACTTTTCCCGCTCCGCAGTGCGCTAACTTGTATGAACGAACGCTTCCCACCATTTTTCAAAAACACAATAGGTGTATTCCTTTTACTAGAAACAAAGATCTAGAAATCTCAGATATTTTTTCCTCACTTGACTTTGACAGATTGACAGATGTTCCATTTACAATTTGATATCTAACTAAGGTGAGTCGGAAACGGCCGTGGTGGGAAGTGAGATATTTACCTCCCCCCTTACCGATCAAGCACCTTGAGCTTGGATTTTACTCAATTGTGGTGGGAGGAAAAACGGACCAATCCTAGAGTTTCGCAAGTTTGGCGCTCACACGGTTGTTTGTTTAGATTTTGTCTGGTAGACATTTCTTAATTAATATTGTTTAATATATACAATAATAGTAAAAATGTCGTTTGTATCATGATACCCACCGACATGGGGTTGGCAACTCAATGAAACTGGCGACGTGATGGTGAAAAATACCGATAAGCAAATAATTATTATGTAAAATACCTAATCTCTAGCACAGTATCTAGTATACATCTAGAATCGAAATTATTTTAAAGGTATCTCTGTGCTTAACTGCTTGCCAAGGAGGTTTAAATGTAACTCTTCTTCAATATCTTCGCTGCTTACCAACATATTATTATTTTATCGGGTGAATATTTTTTTTGATAAATTACACAGACGACAGCTGTGGCAAACGTCACTTTAAAAATTGTTCCATTTATGCAGATAAATGAGGTGAGAATCTCATATCAGTAAGTGAAGTGATCTCCTCAGTTGCGAACACAGAGTTGCGAAGTTAAAGGAACGCTAGGATCTCACTTTTGCAGACGATCACAACCCAAGACCAAAATTCAAGTTTTCGCGGGCTTTTTCAAATTTTGTTTACATGTCAATTTAAGGCGGGAAGTTTGGGTCATCACAGTATTTGTTATCTCTGTCACAGTAGTGTATCAGACAAAGACAAAAAGTAAAATGATAGCGGTAACTTTCGCATTCTTCTTATTAGTCTGACACTTTCACGCTGTATCTATTTAATTTTCCACACCTTCCAGTGCCCCTTAAATGAATATGTTGAATAACGCTATTCTGTGAACCCATGGACGTTATTTATTTAATACAACGCCCTTTTCAAGAATTTTCGTTCTACAGTTTTTCTGACTGTTCTATGTTCTGCTCTTTTACGATCAATAAAATGCGATATATTTTCGTCAGTGTTTTTTGTAAATTCGATATATTTTTCTTTTGACTTTTTTATGTTCACCTTTTGCGTGCGCCCACATCAAAATTAAATCAAATAAATAAATGGGAACAGCAACCCCTTTTTGGCCATTCTGTGTTGTACTGACGCCCAATTTTTTACTAAAACTTTCGTAGACTCTTCATAAATAAATTTGACAAATTTTGTTTTTGACTAAAACATTAAAAAGACAAAATTTGGAAATTAATTTGTTTTCATATGAAGTAATATTTTTCGGGCATATCTTTTCGAGCTGTGTGTCATTTTGCAGTGTCAGCTTGATTAGATTAACCACGAATATAAATGTTTTATTTATTTCAGATTAAAGACCTAATTTTAACGTACTTTAAGCATAAATAGTGTCAACTTTGTCAAGTTATTCCTTTTTTTACGTGAATAATGGATATTGGGGAATTATTAGATTATAAAGTGAGTAAACTAATTATAGGTTATGTGAATGTATTTTGTAACGAAAATAACAAATCTTAGCCGCCGCAAGGTGTAAAACGGCCAGTCGAAAATGAAAATGACGATATTGAAAAGCAAAGAAAGATGCGACGAATCGCAAGAGATAAAGCAAATAAAATGTCTAGGGCTGCCTCACCGACACCTTCGTTACAAACTCTTGACCAAATCAGTGAAGAAGAAAGACAAGAAATTTTGAAATTTGTAGAAACAGAACAAACTGAAGTAGTGCAATTTATTGTATTTAGTTTTTAGGTTTGATCTGTACACTTTTTAGGGAGAAGTCATTGATGAAGCGGCAATCAAAAGGATAGTGTTAAATTTTGAAAAAAGAAGTTTGAAAAACAGAGAAATGCGAATCAAGTTTCCAGATTCGCCAGAAAAATTTATGGAGAGCGAGTTAGAATTACATGAAATTCTACAGGAAATGAGAGTATTATCAACAGCACCTGATTATTATCCCTTGTTGGTGAAACTCCATGTGATCCCAAGTTTGCTTGAATTATTAGCCCATGACAACACAGACGTTGCAGTAAGCAAATTCTTAATTATTAAAACTAATGGAGTTGAAAGCAAAAATAATTTCTTTTTAGGTAGCAACGGTCGAACTTTTGCAGGAATTAACTGACGTTGACATTCTTCATGAATCTGAGGAAGGTGCAGAAGCTCTCATAGATTCTTTACTTGAACATCAGGTAATCGCACTTTTAGTACAAAACTTAGATCGTTTAGATGAGACAGTGAAAGAGGAAGCAGATGGTGTACACAATTCATTATCTATCATAGAGAACCTGACAGAACTGAGAAATGATATATGTAACGAAGCAACAAAGCAAGGTTTGCTTCAATGGTTACTTAAGAGACTGAAAGTGAAAGCTCCATTTGATCCAAATAAATTGTATGTTAGTGAATTACTCTCAATTTTGCTTCAAGACAATGAGAAAAACAGAACAACTTTAGGAGAAATGGACGGGATTGATACCTTACTACAACAATTGGCTTTCTATAAAAGACATGATCCTTCAAGTGCCGAGGAGCATGAACTTATGGAAAATTTGTTCAATTGCTTATGCAGCGCGCTGATGGTTGTCTCGAATAGAGATCGTTTTCTCAAGGGGGAAGGTTTACAACTCATGAACTTGATGTTGAGAGAAAAGAAAACTTCGCGGAATGGTTCTTTGAAAGTTCTGGATTATGCCATGTCAGGACCACATGGTAAAGATAATTGTAACAAGTTTGTTGATATTTTGGGTCTTCGTACGATTTTTCCATTGTTTATGAAAACGCCGAAGAAAAATAGAAAAAAAGTATTGTCAACTGAAGAACATGAAGAACACGTGACTTCCATAATTGCCTCCATGTTGAGAAATTGCCGCGGCTCGCAAAGACAACGACTTGTTAGTAAATTTACAGAAAATGATCATGAAAAAGTAGACAGATTACTTGAATTGCATTTTAAATATCTTGAAAAAGTTGAGGCTATTGATGACGCAATGGATGAAGAAAATGAAAGTGAAGATGATGACGCGAATTATATGAAACGTTTGGAGGGAGGTTTGTTCACATTGCAGTTGGTGGACTATATTATAGTCGAAGTTTGTGCTGCTGGTCCTACAAGTATTAAACAAAGGGTTATGCAGATACTCAATCTACGAGGTGCATCACTTAAAACTATAAGGCATATAATGCGAGAATATGCAGGTAATTTGGGTGATGAAGGTGACAAAGAGTGGCGTGATCAAGAACAACAACACATTTTGCATTTAGTTGATAAATTTTGACCCAATAATTTATAAAATAAAACTTCAATAAAAAGTAAAATTACAGTAAAAAAAGTTCGTTGTCATGTAATAGTGCTTTTTGAATTAAATATTAACACCCCTGTTTTTACAAACGCCACATTTTTATTTTTACACATTTAAAATCTACAGAGTTACATCGCAAATTACTGTAAAATGAAAGTGTATAATATTCATGCAAAAGTTAAAACATTTTATGACAAACAGTATGTCCAAAAACTATAGAACGATATATAGATGACTCACTAAGCGTGCTCGATATCTTATTAATTATTGCTATTGTAAAAGTTGTACGGTTCTTTAAGGACTATACTCTAATATCTAACTATATTTAAAGAATGTTTTGTTTTTAAGGTGTAACACACTTGTTTTTTTGTATGAAACACATAGGATATATGTTATTCCTATTTTCTTAACATTTTTTGGCAACATTCTTCTAATATATCGATGTGTAAAAATGATAAAAATCGCAGCAACTATCAACTTCCAATTGTAGAAAACATTTAACTAAAAATAGAATAAGATGCAGTAATAAAATATATGACTTTCTAGTTGTAAAAACTGAAATTTAGAATTTGAAAAGTGTAATTAAATCCGTATAGGAAAATTTAATTTCATTTATACCGCAATAAAGCGGGCATCTTTATTTATCCCTCCACAAAATATTGTGACATAGATTTTAAAAATAACTCTACTGCGATTTTTTTGTGAACCCTTCCACTACTAAAAAACCTACGAAGAAGTAAATCAAAATATGTAAAAATATAACAACAAAATAGTTCGTACAGTTAAAAATAACTTTAGAGTAGAGTCCTCAAAAAACCGTACAACTTTGGCCTTTGACTTTTTTTTCTATTTCAAATAATTAATTAGATATCGAGGAACGCCCGCTTATACAGTGGCTCACCCTGTAACTGTGATAATGCTGTAACATTTCTAAGGAATTTTCGGAAGTAAGGTATTTGCTCATTCCCCCTAAAAATTGATGACGTCACCTCAAAATTTTGCTGAATAAATCCTATCTTAAATGTGCAAAATATGATGAGTCAATACTTGTGATTTATCATTGCATTAATATTTTTTAGATTTGCTCATACGGGGTGTCTCAAAAAATTTAATGACTGATCAATTTATTTTATTGATTAGGTCAAGAATTGCAAAACTGAATAACTTGAAATCGTGCAGACATTTTCAAGTTATTGTAAGCATGGTAACTTTTTAATCAAAATGTATCTGTTTATCAACCCCAAAAAATTGATGACGTCATCTCAAAATTTTGCCGAATAAATCGTTCCGAAAATGTGCAATCATAGTTTTTAGACTTGCTTACAGGGTGACTCAAAAAAAAAATTAACCAGTCAATTTATTATTGATCAAATTAAGAATGAGCCACCCTATTTTCTCGAAAATGTGAGAATACGCTCGTCTTTATAACAATAAAATAATGATAAGGTAAGAATTATAGTAATAACATTTAGAACGCGTTCTCATAAAAAAATATAAAATCCGCAAAATCAAATTTTATAATTTTTCGAAAATTCTGGTTATATTTCATTGTACTTCAGGAGCGAGGGAAGTTCTGTCGAAACAACTTTCGACCAATTTTTTTTATAGAATTGGTTTCATGCGTTTTGAACATACTTCACAATATTATAGCACATTGATAATAAATCTGTTCCGCAATCTTCAGTTTACGCATTACATTTATTACAGCAATGGGTGAAAACTGTTACAATCAACAGTGAACACGTACTTTACGAACAACAGATTTTTAACACTACAAATTTTAAAATTTCATTACATTTACCTAAAAATATAACATACAGAGCATGTTTCATCTCGGCTGATGCATTAAAATTTCGTCAAGACGTGCTCGCAGCACTTGAAATTTCATTAAACGTGATGTTTGCTTTTACTGCACCCACGTTATTTTTAACGTTACGTTAAATCTAGACTGGACATTTATTTTATAGTGATTTCCGAAATTTTGTAAGATCCTAGAATTAATTTTCTAATTTAAAAAATTAACTAAAACGTAGTGGTTACTGCAAATGAGTTTAATAATGTAGGCAGTGTCCAAATTGAGAAGTTGTAGTTTATGTTTTTTTTTCAGTTTTCCTCTCTTGAGAAATACGTTAACTTTACAAATTTAAATTCAGACATGTTCAGAAAGAAAAATCTGACAAGAAGTAATTTAAAAAACAACGTCAGTGTTATTACAGTGTATTCATATCGTAATCCGTGTTTCTCCCCACATGTTGGTAATGACGCTATGCAAAAAATTATTGAACACATTTTTATTAAATTCACGTTTGAAATGAAATTCCAACAATTAAATATCTAAACTGACTTTTTTGTGTATTCTTCATGGTATGTTTCATATATGGACCGAAAATAATTTTACTGAATCAGTCGAGATGAAACGCACACCCGTTTTACAATGTAGCTAACTAGCACCTATGTATTTGTAAAATATCACAAGTTTACGAACACTTAGTCACCCTTGTTACATCACGGTAATGATTCAACATACACAAAAAAAGTTGAGTGGTTATTATTATTAAATACTTAGTAAAAAGAGTTATATCTTGAACATTTAATCAACAAATTTTACATAGGTACAATCAAATACAACGATATGCCCTATTATAATACCATAAATGAAATAAGTATGCAAGTAGAAGTACTTCATTTGACTTATTGTCATTATTATTTGACTAGAATATTTTACCAAAATTATTCAATTATTGCAATGTGCTTTATTCCTTGAAGACACCTTTTCAGATAAAGCCTTCTTGAGTTTTGCAAACCTATCCGCCAGATTCGTAATAAGTTCAATAACAAATAATTAACCGTATAAAATTTATTGTTCAATGTAAAATTATTTTAACTACTTTCCGCAGGATTTATATTGTTTATTATAAATTTTTCCACATCATTAAATATTTTTAGGCATGTAATATATATGTAGGCACAAAGTATAATCTCGATTTTAAATTTGTTCGCTATAGCGAAAATATTCGAAAGATAATAAAAAGAGCTACTGAAACTTCCACATTATCAGCAAGCTTGAAAAAAGCCAACGCAATCCTGAAAACAAATAATTAATCAGCATCACAGAAGATCATGTTTTACTTTACTGTTTCTTATATATTACAAATATTATTCTAAGGTAACGTCCTGTGTTATGTACATACAAATTTACATTTTGATATACTACTTACTATTTTAATTACCCGTAATTTTCAGCATACAGGATGTTTTGTCTCAACTGGTTGACTAAATTACGTCAAAACTATATTTGCAGGTTGTAATGGGAAAAATCTACAAAAAATGTGTATTTCAGAACATCAACTTGAACGTTAGCGTTTATATTTTGCCGAAAATGAAAACACATTTTTTTAATTGGGCTATGCCTGATTTTATTTTTTTGACTAACACAATTGTTTTTCAATAATATTCTCCTTTGCAATTAGTAAAGTCTGCTTTTCAAACCTGGTCAGTTGGCCATGCACATACATCAGTGATTAAAATTTGGGTTCATTATCGCTCCATACTTAAAAAAAAAAATCGAAATTTCTAAAACTGTGCCTTACATACTTTAAAAAAGACCGCTAATAGTATTCATCACTGATAGTATTGTCAAATTTTTGAAAAAACGTGCGCGTAACTGACAGCTCAATACATGCACCTTAATTTGGAAGTTTATTTGACATGAAACATCCTGTATAATATATCATTAGAAGTGATTAATATGCATTTAAATATTTATATCGTTTTGATAAGGTTCAGCATTATATGATTTAATAAATACTTTAGGTATAAGTTAACAGCCATAATTTAACATATTATATTTACGTACTTTACAATAATCAGAACTAAACGTAACATTGTCATTGGAAGACATTCATACATACAGAACACTTAATTCTCACTAAATTTTGTCACAAGAAATACTAAAAAGGCATATAGAAACATAAAAAAATAGAGATTATTCAGGTACTTAAAAGGTCATTTCAACATTTTTAACAACATTGGTAAAATCTACTTTGGATGGTGTTAGGTAAAAGGCAGGGGCTACCTTAACGCCACATGGACACTGGCACCCCATAATCCAACTAAATGATCCAACTTTTGCGCTGCATTTGGGGCAGTACAGCTTCTCTTGAGTAGTTTGTGTAACATTCATCCAAGCCAGCGGTTCTAAGAAATACGTTTTGGTACAAACGTCACCATTTATCTTGTGAGTGATTAAATTTGATTCTGAAGCTAGAACTCTACGGCATTTCTTGCAACGATAGACATTTGGTTCTGGTTGTGTCTGAGTTAATCCTGGATCAAATTTTACCAAATCCATAAAAGTCTGTGGTAAAATCTTTACTTTTCGGACTTGATCAGCAGCTATATTTAACCTAAATATCTTGTATTTCATGTTGTTAGGGTCAAGTTTATAATTCATTTCTTTATACAGAGTTAACTGTGAGATGAAACCTTGATTTGGATAAACTATACTTCTTTTGAGTTTAACTTGTTCAAAAGCTTCTCTGTAAGTTAACTGGTACTTTTTCATAATATAAGCAATGACTACGGTAGCGCTTCTAGAGACACCAAAATAACAATGAACCAAAACCGCTCCTTTCGTTAATCCTTCTGTAATAAAAGCTTCTGTATCATCAAAATGACTCAGTAAGTCTTCTTTTGGTTGGTCAGAAAGTTGAATATACTTGGTGGTGATGTTTTTCAATTCCAAAATTTTTCGAGGTAACGGACATATGTCAATTGTTAATATATGGCTTATTTTATATTTTACAAGGGTATTTACATCTTTAGCGGCACACAGACCTCCAAGGTACAAATTTGGTTCAATGAGATCAATACTGATTGGTGACAAGGAGCAGTCGTCTTTTTGTACAGAATTCATATCAGTTCTCAATAATCTAAAACAATTATGTAAGCTGTTGAGAGACTAATAATAGTCATTAAACGCACAAACCCTTCTAACTTGCGACATAAAGTAACTAAACCAGATTTAATCATGTTCGAAGATATATATTATTATGTCGCATTAAATACGTCATTTTATTTGTTTATTGTATTTCTACATCTTCATGCGTCGTAAACATAAAACAGTTTTGGGGTGAAGGTCCAGTACAACTGGACAGTGCCAAAAATGCTCTTTACTATTGACAGCAATTCATACCATAAAGTATATTGTTTTATTGACACACCGGTATCTGATTTTTTGACACTGTAGGGAATTTTTCCTTTTTCGCTTTTACCTTGCGTCAGAAACGTCAATGTCAAAACTGAAGTCAAGCTTAAGTAAATAAAACATGGCTCCTAGACGTGCAAAAGTAAATAAGCTTGATTATAAAAAATTAAGTGCTAATGATGTGATTTGCCCAATTTGTCGAAGTATTTTAATCAAACCAGTAACACTTCCCTGTAGCCACGGCTTTTGTTCATCATGTTTTGAGACAACAACAGAAAACGCAAATGTATGTCCTATGTGCAGAGTGAGGGTTGGTTCCTGGCTTAGATCTTCAAAATCGAAAAAATTGGTCAACGAAACGCTTTGGCAAGCAATTCAAGATCTTTTCCCGTTGCAAGTCAAAAACAAGTTAAATGGAGTTGCTGAGAATCAAGAAGGTACAGACAAAATGAAACATAACCTTACATTTACATCTAAACAAACCCATGTTGATGTTTTAGATAAATACAAAGCAAACGAGCGAAATAACAGTACAGTAAACGTACAAAGCAAACAATCTGAACAACTGGCTTCACTTTCATCAACATCATCCAAAATTGCCACAAAAACTGCAGGTTCAGTAAGCACTCTTTCAAAAAGCCATAACCAGACTCTTACAAAAACTGAAAAGAATGACAAACGTTTTACATTTATCAATAATTTTGCTACAAAAGAATACACATGTAGAATATTGTGTCAAAACACCCATTCAAAAGAAACGCAAAAAACCCTTTTCAAAGAATCTCAGATCTTAACACAAAAGAAAAATAAAAGAATTCAGGAAATTGCAGAGTCTGAAATGGCAAATGATAGGAGTAACAGCATTGAGTCAGAGTGTTTATATTTTAAGCCGATTGACTACCGACATAATCCCCCATCAGAAGGGTTAGCTCCGATTAAAGTTCCTACTAGAAAACCAAATGTTAGCCCCCATATTAAAATACTGTAAGTATGTGAAAACCTATTAAATTTTTGTTTTTAACATAATAGGTTTTTAGTGCTCCAAGTGGCCAAAATCAGATTAATATGAACTACTTGGAATCAGCTTTTGCCAGATTATGCTCAGCAGCCTCAGAAGAAAAAATGGGAACATACAAAAAAGAAAACATTCAGTGTCAGGTGAAAGATGACAGTTCCATTGTATCCAAACGGAAACAAGAGAAATCGGACAATAAAGCAAGAAAGAAAATTAAATCAGTACATACTGCTAATCAATTGATGAAATCAAAAAGTATTGAAGTCACTTTAACAAAAGTTTGTGATACTAACAAGTGTAAAAACTCATGTGACACAGAGGGCTACAATCTCCCGATAAGAAATACTATTCCCAAAACAACAAACTTTAAGAAAACTAACAATTTAATCAGTGAAGAACATATTAAACGATCGTTGCAGGAACAAGCGGATTTCGAATTAGCTACCAAGCTACAACAAACATTTAACCAGTCCTCTGCATATTCCACGCGTAGCACCGTTCTCAAAAGGATGGCGGCAAAAAATCAAGTCCAAATGGAAATTATGACACCATAAAATAAGTTATGTTGATTTTCAAATGTATCAAAAATACATTTAAAATTTGAGATGTTTTATTTTGTAACGTGATATGTCCATAAAGTTTTTTTGTTTAGTTTGTTATTATACTGCATTAGTCAGTCATTGATATTAATATACTAAACATTAATCATTGTGACTATCAAATGCAAGAATACAGACAGGGGTATGATAAATGCACTTATCATAAATGTGTCTAATCCAGAGATACCTAGATGACTGTATCGATTGGTTGACTTTAGTGTGAAAGAACAATTTTTCAGGTATTTGATTCATGGTGCAATTTTTTTTTGCACCTTTTACATGTGGTAGAATGTAATTTGAATTAAAAACTTTACAGAAGCGCAGCTGAGTTTGTTTTGCTAGGTGATACTGCATTTGTGATGTTATAAAATATTTTTGAAATGATATTGTTATGATAGTATTAAGTAAAATTTAGTCATTTTTAAGTTACATTAATTTTATTTTTCATTTGTAATTGTTGCTGTGATAGCAGCCGTTTTATTTTTCAATAAAATGATAAAGTGAAGGATCAATTTCTGAAAATGTAACTATAAATGAAACTGAACATTCACGAATTTCAGCTAATATATTTGTTTTTATGTACAAGGTAGTAGGACTACTTTTCCTTTTCAGTTTTGTTGTGGGCCTGAAACAGACAAATGTAAATTACTAATATTACTCAAACATATAATTAATAAATGCAATGTTACCATAAGCAACTACAATTTATCAGTGATAAAATAATTCTTAAAGAAAAAAAATAATCATGACATGTTATTTTCATCATGCTGTCCCAGACATGCCCCCACTGGGCAGTGACATGACTTTGAAGTAGATTCATCATGTGCTTTGGAAACAATTGTAAAAGCATCTACTTCATTTGTTCCATGAAGACCTTCACTTATGCCAGTATCTCCGTCAGTTACATTTGCACACTTTTTGCCTTTACTATTTACCTTTTGTGTATCATCTCCTGAAACAAGAGATGAAGCTGATTTCGCGACTGTATCCCACGCTTCTGAGAAGCTGGTTGGTATTTTTGGTAGTGATGGAAGCTCCAATGGAGGATCATCCTTCTTAACTTAAACATACATATTTAATTAATGTATGAGCTGTACCTATATGTATGTTTATTAAACACAAATCAACATACCTCCATATGCAAAGTTGTATGCAATTGTGGCATATTTCTTTGCCTCTGCTATTGCTATTTGTGAATACTCAGATGCTTCTTTTGGATAACAAAGAGCAGCCATTCCTAATGCTCCAGCACTAGCATATAACGTTCGCTTAATAAATCTACCTCTTAGACCCAAAATGTAACCAGTCAATCCACCAATTACAATGGCACCAGCTTTTGGAGTTGTATTATCTTCTTGTCTCAAATATTGCAATAACCCTAAAATAGTTAAAAATGTGCTTAACAAATGCTTTAAAACTATTATAACGGTCACTTACCTTCAGCATTGTCTTTGCTTTGTTCAACATAATCCACAGCAACCCTCTTGTATGCCGAAACTTCCCTTGAAATGTTTGTAACTTGTTGCCTCACTGCTCCAAAGCCATTTTCTAAGTATGTTGGCATAGCTACTTCTGGTTCTGGAGTCGGTGGTGGTGGGTCCGGTACATAGATAGGTAATTCACTCGCCCGACAGTATTGGCCTTGTTGGGAGGAATCTTTCCCTCTTTCTTCTGCTACTAAAACTGCTGCCGGGACGAATAATGTGTTTAGCAACTGAAACACATTTTTTTAAATAAATAAAACAATACATATCAATGTACCTACTTTCCTAGTATACATATTTAATTAATTTTGCATACAAACTTTAATACAAAATCCTTTTTTGTTTTTTTAATGTTACATAAATTTGACAGTTGTGATAAACTGTCATGAGTGTCAGGAACCTCCTTGAGGTCAGGTGTTTGCCAAGATAGAAGGAAACAACTGCGCAAAATCGGGTTGTTGCAGCAGTACAAAATATGGCAAAAGCCAAAAGCTGTCTTTAGTTTAGAACACATTCACAAGATGGTGCAGTCACAAATAATAATAATAATAATAAAAGTTGCCAAAATGTATGCACAAACATAGACACAGTTACTTTATTTAAGATTTCTTCTTTTTTTGTGTTGAAATTTTTGTATCGATTTGTAACATTTGATTTCATTTATGAAAGCTGGAAAGAATTTTTGCAGCTGGTTTCTAGATTTTGTCTCTCCAGAATGGAGGAATAAACAATTTTCCTTCAATATTTTGGATTTTTTTTAAGGTTATTTTACCAACCTTGGGGTTTACCACTTTGTATTTGAACGCATTCTGACAAAAAAAAAAAAAACACAACGTAGGGTTTCCATTTTGTTAACGAATACAAGCCAAATTTTGAATTTTTCGCGAGTTTGAAAATTTTGTGCAATTTTGGCGGGATGTTTGGGTTAACACAACAAAAATAAAAACTGGTCTCAGACATTTTTTAAATATATTATATCAAATGCCAGAGGGTAGGTTTTAAACATTTTAAAATTTAATTTTTTGTTGTAATAATTAGGTGCGTAGTGCTAAAAATACTTTATCAAATTTTTAGTGGGGATGAACAGAGAAATTGATTCATGTTTTATCATGTACACGACAATCAAAAAGTACACCTAAAATTCATTGATGAGTGCCCACCTTCAATTCGAGGAAAACACCAGGTACTCTTAATTCTCTACTTAGTTTTCTGTTCGGCAAACTAAGTGAAACAGAAAAGTAGTCATACTATAGAAGAAGCATGCGAAAGCTGTTTCTAAAAGGTTGAGGCGGCAAACGTAGGTACCTAGTAAAAAAAAACCGTTCGTGCTGCATTATAATTCACTGGCATATCATTGATGGATATCAGAAAGAGAATGAATTGCAGGATTAAACCCTGGGGCTCCTCTGTTCCAAGAGACTATGATCAATGGCTTTTCGTAAACAATTTAATGTCCGTAATTACTTAATTAAATCAAATTTTATTGTTCATACGGCGCTCTACAGATTCTATAGAACTCAAGTTTATTTAGTAATAGGGCAGGATTCATGTAGTCATTAATCGATAATTTTGAGAAAGTAGGTTAAATATCTTTTATTAAAACAATGCAAAATGTATCCACATTAAAGCAAGTTGTTTGCTCGTAAATAGTTTATTTTACTTAAAGAATCTAATCATACGTTAATACGTTTTTCAAAATTTTTTGATAATATGCAAGATGTAGATGGATCTAAAATTATTTATATCGTGGATATGTGAAATTCTTGAAATCTTAACTTAACACTTAACACTGGTATGATATTAATAATTTCACTCGTCTCTGAGCGGTGAATTAACGACGATTTTTTATGTAATCCATATTATCATTAACATTTACATTGTTATGATCTAGTCATAATAATAGTTTTAGAGAAATGTTTACAAAAAATATTAAAGTCATCTGCTGTGAATGGATTTTTAACATGTCGTCATTTGTGATTGAATTTAAATTCACTATTTTTCAAATAGATTGACTTTTATTGTTACCCGAAAATACGTAATCAACATACGCTTCCTTTTTACATAAAAGAAGTTTTTTCTGTATTTCTTCATTAGTTCATTACATAATTAAAGGCCTAAATATTGCTCGTAATGGAATTGCTCTTGTTAATAGCATTAACATTTTAACAATGGATGTAATTTTCTTAAATTTGCTCGAAATCCATTTGACTTATCCGTTATCCCTATCGTTCTTAGCAGCGGAAATTAATGGATAGTTCTTGTAAAAGACACATCAATCAACTGATTCTTAGATAATTCAAAACATTGTTCAAAAGCATGCTGAAAACTTGAAAAAATAAATTTATTATTGTATATTTCGGATGAAGTTAATTTCGAAATGACAGAGTACAAGTTATTTAATTGAAGAATCAATACAGATCTGTTATAATTATTATTAAAACAACTGTTAATATTTTAAAGTTAATTCTACACGGCAATGTTAAAATGGTGATGCTGTTTGAATTAGTCAACAAAATATATAAATAATTGAGCAAACATTTAAAATTTGTGGTCAAACAAACTTTATCCATTTTTCTGGTCCACTCAAATCTATAACCTCTCATAATCCGACAATAAAATTTTATGAGTGTCCACCCTCTAAGATTTTCTAAATTTAATCTGTAAGTCACAACGTCAAGTGGAACATCCTTCTTATTGAAGATTAAACAATTTTACGATACATTTACACATAGCCAATAAGATATTTTGAAATCTCCCACCAATGCAAATTTTTGTTTAAAAGTTGTTGCAGTTGGCATCGAACTTTTATTTGTAGCTAGAGTGAAATGAAATTAGGCGCAAAAGAATCGGCTAGGTGCCTTAGCTGACGAAAATTTTGAATGTCAGTTATTATTGAATTTAAATAAATGAATATAGTCCTCTTGCGTGAAGTATATAGGAGATCGAAAAACAAATTAGTCAAAGTTGGCCATGCACGAAAAGCCGTTTGTCTTAGTTTAAAATAATTTTTTATTAAACGTCACGTTGACAAAAGGTTGACAATAGTTATTTACATTACAAGCTGCGTAAGTAAACTTTTTTGTCGAGGTGGATTTGACGGGCCGAGGCAACGCCGAGGCCCGGCAAACCTCCGAGACTTAAGAAAGGAGTTACGCAGCGTGTATTGTATTACGTTTTTTCTGCTACCGACACCAGTAACACTAAAAAGTAATAATTCTAGTAACTAAAAAATATTTAAGAAATTATCAGGAACTCATTGAAAGTATTCATTTCCGTAGCAACAAGATAAAAAAAATTGTTTACAAGTGAAGTTTTCTAAAAAGTAGTTGTTCAAAGTGAAAAATGAGTGATTCAAGTCATTTACAGGCAATAGAAGAAGCTGCCAATATTGCTTGCGCATGTCTGTTACCTGAAAAATCGAAATTCCGTTATACTGAAACTTACAACGCATTTTCAATTTGGTAGGTATACATCACGAAACATTCAAGATGTTAATGAAACCGTAATGCTTGGTTATTTTAAGGAAAGATCCGAAGCCCGCAAGTCTCCTAGCAGTTTATGGTGTGAATATTCAATGCTGAAATTAACGTCGTGTCAGTTCTTCTGTTGTTACCTCAATTATATAAGAAAATGTTGGAAGCTCATGCAGTTGATGAAAATGTGACAGTTACTACTTTTGAAATAACTTCAAAGAATATTCCTTTAATAAATATTACTGAGTGTAGTGTTACAGTTAATATTAATAAATAATTATAAAACAAACTATTGCTGTAAAATGAAATTATTGACATTTCTCTGACATTCTACTACTTTCATTACTTTTTTGTCCTGGCAGCGTAAGTAACACTTACGCCCTTAGTAACCTACTTACGGAGCTAGCAACGAGGTTGCCCTATTTACTTCGCTTACGCTTACATCAGTGTCACTGGAGCAATAAGGTTCATTTACGCTATCGGTAGCAGAAAAAAGTAATTTGTAATGGTATCAAACCAAATTAAAGTCTTTTTGTTAGAATCTTACTTCAGAAATGGGACAAAATTGGAAAACGGTGATTTTGATTCATTTTTATGTGTTTTAAAAGTCGGTGTCATAATTCTAATTTTAAACTGTCAATTTGAAATTTAATAAAAAAATTAAATTACGACAAACGGCTTGTCGTGCATGGCCAACTTTGACTAATTTCTTTTTCGATCTCGCGGTATATGTTAGCTCTACAGGCCCTCTAGGCCCTTGGCTTCTATGGTGACAGCTCTGTGGTGGCAGTTATTTATTTCCATCTCTTCCGGTATGTGACTACACTTTTCCAGTTTTTCACTCCATTTGCTTTCAGATCTTTCTGCGCCTCCTCTAGCCATTTCTTTCTTGGGTATCCTCTTTTTCGTTTCTCACCCCTTCCTTCTTCTAATACTCTTTTTGCTATTCTTTGTCCTGGCATTCTAGTTTTGAGTCCTAATCATCTGATTCTTTGCGATCGAATTTTTTGTGTGATCCTCGGTCTTCTATACAGGTTCATGACTTCCTGGTTTGTCCTTCTTCTCCATTCTCCTTCTGTACTTTTGACCCCTCCCAAAAATTTTTCTCAGTATTTTTCTTTCCCATGTATCTCTAATTTCATTTCGGCTTGTTTATACAGTGTCCATGTTTCACTTGCGTACGTTACCACTGGTCTTATGATTGTTTCGTACATTCGTATTTTTGATTTTCGTGATATATTTTTCCCTGCATTATTGATGTTAGAGAACCCATTGCTCAGCTGCCTTTTAGCATTCTTTTTTCTATTTTCTTTGCTTCTTTGGCTTTACTGGTTATTGTGGCTCCTAGGTATATAAATTCGTTTACTTTTTCTATCTTGTATTCTTTTCTATCTGTTTTTAATTTAATATATTTGTCTTCTTTTACGTCATCTGTATTCATTTTCATGTATTTCGTCTTCTGCTCATTTACCACTAGACCGTACTTCCTCATCACTTTTTCAAATTGCTTAAATGTCCTTTCTAGCTCCTTTCTTGATCTCGTAAGCAAGGCGACATTGTCTGCATATGCAATGCATTGCTTCTTATGGTGACATATTAATCCATTATTTCATTTGTTTGTATTCTGCTTTCCCTTGTTATGTCCTCTAGTACAACATTAAACAGGTCGCCTGATAGTGGATCTCCTTGCCGTAGCACTTTTCTAACCAAGAATTCTTTTGACATGTTTCCTTCCAAAATAATTTTGTTGCTCGTGTTTTGTAGTGTCATTTTAACGAATCTTATCAATGTTTTTGGTATTTCTAGCTTTTCCATTGCATCGTATAACATGTTTCGGTCTATGGAATCGTAGGCTTGTTTAAAGTCTATGAAAAAGATGTGCAGGCTTAGGTTTTGTTCATAGCTGCTATTTTGGATCGTTTTTAGAGTAAAAATCTGATCTATGGTTGATCTTCCTGCCCTAAACCCTCCTTGATATTCTTCTATTGTTTGCGTGGTGTATTCTCTCAATCTAGTTCTTATGATTTTTGTTAAGATCTTACAAACTACATCAAGTATGGCTATTCCTCTGTAGTTTTCACACTCCGTTTTGTCTCCTTTTTTAAATATGGGGCAGATAATGGCGCTGTTCCATCCTTTCGGTCTTATCTCCTCTTGCCACGTTCTAAGTAAGTATTAGCTGATATCTCTTGGTAAGTTGTTCGGCTCCTATTTTCAGCAGTTCTGCAGGTATTACATTTTATCCAGGGCTTTTATGACTTTTCATTTCTTGTATCATTCTACTCACTTCTATTTTTTCTTGTTTTTCATTGTTGTCTTGTCTTCTTGTTTTCACTACTTTTGGCTGTTGTTCTTCCTCCGTCTTGTCATTTAGTAGGTCTTCAAAATATTCCGCCCATCTGTCTAGTTTTTCTACTGTGTCTCCAATCAGTTGTCCTTCTTTACTTCTGCAGTATAGCGTTCTCGTGCTAGTGGTCTATTTTGTCTTCCTAACTTCTTGGTAGAAGTTTTGTATCTCTTTGTTTGGGTAGTGTTTTTCTATTGTATCCATTTTTTTTTCAAATATTCTCTCTTTTTCCGTCTGCATATTTGTTTGGTTATTTTCTGTTTTTCTTCATAATCTTTTATTGCTTCCTTTGTTGGTTTTTGATCTTTTCCTATTTTTGCAATGTTTCTACTCATCAAGGCTTTCTTCATCATACCAATCTTCCTTTCTACTTCTTCGTTCGGTGTTGTTAATGTATTTCTTTGATGTTTCCTACCATTTCTGCTTCAATTTGGCTCCATTCATCTTCTATTGTTTCGTGTGTTGTATCTTTACTTTCTAGTCTTTTATTTAATTCTATTTCAATTTGTTGTGTTATTTTTTGTCCTTTAGTAGCTTAACATTGACTCTTTTTCTTTCTTTTTTTAGTTTTCTATTGGTTGGTAGTTTTTCTTTTATTTTTGCTATAACTAGTGTGTGGTCGCTGTTAGCATCTGCTCCCCTGTAGCTTCTCCAATCGTGAATCATCGTATAGTCTATAGTGGAATATGGAAAATCTGAAAGATATAAAAGTAAAAGAAAAATGGAACGAAGAAATTAAAAAGAAGGTTGAGGGTATAAAATTTCATAGAAAACGTAAACTGGAAAAGATATTACAGAAATAACAGAAAATGCAATAGGGAAGAAAAATATGGTATGTGAAGAAGTGGCAAAACAAATAAATGAGAGCAGATTACAATGGTTAACAGATCAAAGCGAAAGGAATAATAAATAATGGCAATAACAGAAGAAAAGTAAGCAAATCGTTAAGAAAAGAGAATCGCCAGTTTGAAAATGAATGTATGAAAGAATTAGACAACAGTGTTATGAAGAATGCACGCAAATTTTATGGGCGGGTAAGAATGGAAATATGGAGAGAGTACCTACTTCGAAGAACTACTAGATACCAGAGGAAAGAGTGGTGTAGAATTAAAAAATCTAGCACAGATAGAGAAATGCACAGAAGCATCTCCAAAATCCCCAGAGATAGATGAAATGAGGGACTTAATAAAAAAGTCAGAAACGGAAAGGCAGCAGAAGAGAATAGTATAACAACGGAAATGATCAAAAAAGGCGAAAGGCAAAAGACATAGGTACTGCCGGATATAGATTTTGCAGTACCTATGTCTTTTCCCTTTTGTCAGGGTATTTTGAAGTAACAACATGTCTTTTTATACACTGTAATTAGTAAAGTTCAGTGTATAAAAATAAATATTAGTACTTGTCCTTTGCAAATAGACTAGAAAAACACACAACGGAAAATATAGGAGAGTTCAACGCTGGATTTAGATCCAACCGTTCGACGTTAGATCACATCTTTACATTTCTAATGTCGAAGGAAGAGAGTTTAATGTCAGTGTGGAGACGTTGTTCATCGATTACTATTGGTAGGCATATCATAGCAGAAAAAGTTCAGAGATAGAAAAATCACTCAAACAAAGGGAAGTAGGTACCTTCGAATTGCGCAATTATAACAAAAAGACGAAAAAGCCTTAAATAATCATTCCAAGATTTGGAAACAGAAGCTACCAAAATTTAAAGAATAGGGATGAGGAAAACATTAAAATCGGTAACCATATATTACCGGAGAGTTCGGGTCTCTGGGCTCGTTAATCACCGAAGAAAATGACATTAAATGAAAATAGATCGACGATCGAGTAACACATCCAAACAGAACTTTGTATTATATGTTGCTATTATTTACATCAAAACTGATAACAAAAAATAACACGAAGATCATTTACAACAAGATGTTAATTTTTAGAAAAAAATTATGGAGGACCATACAAGATACCAACGTCCAACATCGAGCAAAATCATGAACCGTTAGAATTCAACAATGAACAGATAATGAGAATAAATGAGAAAAGAAGGGTCAGAAGAATAGTAGAATATGAAGCTGAAAACAATACCGAAACATAGATGGATGGAGACAGTAGAGAATATTGTGAAAGAAGTAGTATCAGAGGATGGAAACGTCTGGCTTTAAATAGGGAGAATTGGAGATGTATTATAACGATGGAGAAAGCCCAAATAGACTTTCAAGCTGTTTTAATAATAAAAAATTGCTACAAAATAAAGAATAGGAATAAAGCATTATTGAGACTGGGACGGAGCACCCCCATAGCCAAACTTGAGGGATGGTCCTTAACTAGGGGAGCGATTTAGTTGTTAAGATGACGTTGTACGAAGCAGTTGTTGTTGTGTAGAAATAAGCAGTTTAGTGGCACGCAACAAAGATATTTTTCTCTGCTGCGCCTCATAATTTAATTCAGCAGCATGCAAATGGTTCTTCGAGTTATTACACAAATCAGCAGTTTTAATCTGAATTTACCAAAATCAAGTTAGTTAACATCATCATTTTCAAAATTATCATTGAAACATATTAAACTAAATTAAAAATAACTCATCAGCTGAGAAAATGGTATCTTATATTTATGAAGCAATTGGAAACCTTTTTGGTGTAGAACGGCCTCCCGAAGAACTTGGAGATCCTATCGACTTTGAACCCGGGATTTTATTGGACAGTGGCATATCATGGGTGTACGTAAGTGATACTGTACTTTTGTTGTGACTCATTTGTAAGTGATTAATTCCAGTTTTTTAAAAGACTGCTAATTCCATTAGAAGTCAGAAAGACATCCAAATTATGTCCGGCACCTTGTGAATGTGAACGTTTTCCAAAATGTAAAGTATGATAATAAACACAATAGATTTATTTGTGCTTAAAACTGTTCATACCGTAGATGCAACAATAAATTTGACTGAACTAATTTCCAGTGCACATAATTTAAATTAGAATGGTCATTTTGAATTTCTGTCAAGTCAAACGTCTTATTTACAGATGTAAGTTTTGACAACTCGAGTAGCGATATGTTTGCAAACTCTTCTAAAAGAAATCCAGATGAGAGATGTGGTTAGGTAGGTACCATCGGTGGAAATAAAAAACTGGGACACTGAAAATTTTTGCATTGTAAACATCTCTTTAAAATGTAATTCAAAATGAAATTTAAAAAATGTCACCTTGATTAATGTCAAGTGCCAATTCAAAAATGCCAAGTTTGAATGAAGTTCAAAAGCAAACTATTGCGCAACGTTTAAGGGATGGGGTCTCAATTAGAACAATAGCAACTGAGCTGCATATCAGCAAGAATACTGTCCTACTGGCGAAAAAAAAAATTAATGAATATGGTAGAATTATCAGACGAGCGGGGTCGGGTCGTCCAAAAAAAACGACTGCAGACGAAAACATTCAATTGGCAAATTTCATTCGAGAATATCCTTTCGAAACAGTGGTTAACGCAAGGCAGCAAACGAATTTCCCTGCGTCACTGAAAACAGCCCGGAAGAGAGTCCACGAAACTGAATTAAGAAATCGGGCTGCTGCCAATAAAATATTTTTAACTGAGCAAAACAAGGCAATTAGGGTATTATTTGCTCAGGAATTTGTCAATGAACCTCCAGATATGTGGAATAATGTGATATTTTCCGACGAAAAAACTTTCAAATCATATAGTAATGGACGTCGTCGTGTCTATAGACCCCCAGGAACGAGATATGATGAACGCTATTGCAATAAATATAAACAATCCGGTCGCTTTTCCGTTAATGTTTGGGGGTGGGTTAGCAGCAGAGGACGTGGAATTTGCGCAATAGTAGAAGAAAGATTAAACGCTAATGTATACAGAAGGCTTCTAGAAGAACTTATGCTCCCCTCAGTAATACCAGTTTTTGGAGAACGAAACTTTATATTTCAACAAGTTTGTGCTATTCTTCTTTTCATTTTTTTTTAATAATTATAAAACCCATTGCAGGATAACTGTCCAGTTCATAATGCCCGACTGGTAAGTCGGTATTTGCAAGCCCAGGGAGTCAATGTTTTGCCTTGGCCCTCTAGGAGCCCAGATTTAAACGTAATTGAAAATGTTTGGGGAGAAATGCAAAAATATATTTATCAAAATGATTTTCGACCTAGAAATCCACTAGAATTACAAGAAAAAATTGTCGAGGCATGGGAAACTGTAACACCTGGATATATGAGGCAGTTAGTTGCTTCCATGCCTCGTCGACTACAGAATGTGATCGATGCAAATGGTGCAATGACAAAATACTGATCAGTTGAATTGGCATCTTCAGTATAATGTTTCTAGTTATAATTCCAGTTTTTTATTTTCTCTTGAATAAAGTTACGTCCCTAATTTTACGCTCTCGTTTATGCCTTTATCTTTCCGACTAATTTCTTGAAAACAATAAATAAAATATGCGAAAATGTTTCACAAACCTAATAAATAATACTTTTGGCAGGAAAAGCCCAACTTACACGTTTTAAATTTCGAATTTTCAAAATTATCTAGTTACCTATTGTGTCCCAGTTTTTTTTGTCCAGCGATGGTACGTATATTTCTGGAACTACACACACACACAAGAATTTGAAAATCGACGAAGTACTTAGAAAAACGGAGTACTCTTAATATTACATGATTGAAACATAACAATTATAGAGATATTGCAGTCAAGCGTTATTTAGGTAATACGTTAATAAAGAATGAGCTATAAAAATAACGCCACGTTTTAGCGTTGTAAAAAACTTGATGTATTGCGAAACGTATTTTCTAGCGTTGTCGTAGAATCAATGTGACAGATATAAACTAAATAGTTCTTAGTCATCGTGATGGAAGGGGTTTTAGAAGCACTGGTCTTGGACAATGCTAATGACAACGACATAGAAGAAGCAATACTTCAAATGGTAGATCCTGTAAGAAATATTAATAATGGTCCACCGCAAGAATTTCGATTAAATGAACTGTATTTTGATGAAGTTAACACGAATTTTCGTTTTCAAAGGAATCATATTCCCGTTTTGGCAGAAGCTCTAAGATTACCACAGTAAGTTCGGACCGCCACAAGAAATACAGTATATGGCACTACTGCTCTGTGTATTGTATTAAGGAGGCTAGTTTACCCCAATCGTTTAAAAGACTTGACTCATCTATTTGGATTGTCGCCGCAATCACAGATTATTCGCACCACTATAAATATTATCATGGAAAATAAAGGACACCTTCTAGAGGACTTGCAGGCAAATGAATGGCTAAACAGGCAATCAGTTCGAACTAGAGGAGGTGCAATTCGAAATTGTTGGGGCTTTATTGATGGGACTCCAAGACCTATATGTAGGCCAACAGTTGATCAGGAAAATTATTATTCTGGACACAAAAGATTTCACTGTGTTAAGTATTAGTCTGTTCTTTGCCCAGATGGAATAACTGTCAATTTAAAAGGGGCACATCAGGGAAAAAGGCATAACGCCGGCATATTTAGAGAGTCCCAGGTTTATAATGACCTAGAACGAGTGGCAGTATTTCGGGACAATGGAAATGAGCGGTATATTTTATATGGTGACCAGGCCTACGGCGTTATGCAGCTTTTGTTTTGTCCTTATCCTGGAAGACAAGGAAACTTACTTCCTTACCAGGCAGAATTCAATCGTTCTGTAAAAATACTTACAACTACTGTGGAGTGGGGTTTCCAAAAAATTGTCGCACAATTTGCTTTCATGGATTTAAAAAAAAATCTCAAGTTATTGCTTCAAGATATCGATCGTTATATAAAGTAGGGATACTTCTAACAAACTGCCGCGCTTGTTTGTATGAAGCCAAACAAGCCAGTATTTTAATATACAACCTCCTTTATTACAGGAGTACTTAGGTTAAAAAAGTGTTCTATATTTTGAACCGTTTATGCCGAATTGGGTATAATAACTTGTAAAATTATTTAGAACTATTATAATTCCTTGAAATAATTAAAGTAAGTATAGTGAACCAAGACCTATAAGGTTATATGGCCATCATAAAAGTAGTTGACCGCAAATAAATACCCCCTTTGTGTGGTTCGCACTAAGCTTACCGGTTGGCAATAAATCATCTTCTAAACATTTCTTGCTCATATTTAACAGGGCCGGCTTTCAAAGCGAGTGGTTATTTCGGAACCCTCAGCGGCTGCAGGTAGTAAAGAAATAGTGGAGTGGTGGATTTTCATATTTAGTGAAAGCCGCCCCTGAACGAAACCATAAGAGCCGGTCGAGCTGCAGTGGACACGTTATTTACGACCCTAAAACCTTTTCTATTGCAAACAACTTAACTTCGACACAATGAGATGATTTTATGATGGCCATATAACCTTATAACTCTTGGTTCACTATATATAGTTAGTTATTTGGCAGAACTCTCAAAAACACATTCAAACATCAGACTAAATTCGCAGACAAAATTTAATGACAAAGAAACGTGTGTGATAATTTTCAGAAGCTTCGTATATTATAAGCTATACACAGACGTGGGTTTAGCTAGAATTTAATCTGGTAAAAATTTAGGTTAACATCATAATGTCGCTTACGTTAGAGCATGTTCAGATCCAGATTACATCTGTCACTTGTATTATTTTCTTTTAGTACTTAATTATAGTGGTTAAAGCTTCAAAATTTTGACAAATCAAGTGTAGGCTATTACTGCGAAACCACTTTATCGTTAAGTTTTGTCTGCGATTTTATGTAACGAGCGTTCAAATAAAAACGACGTCAAGCTGGCTTTGTAAATGTGAATTTACGGGCCAATTTCAAGTTGGATTTACAATTTTGCAAGTCCTCGTTGCTATGGAAGATGCGATGACAGCAGTCGCAAGGACGAATCATATCGCGAATGGCAACAACTGTCATCGAAATTACCATAGCAAGGCACTTGCGACTTCGCAAATCCAACTTGAAATTACGCCCTTAGTGAATGATTCGTTGATATTTTCAAAACCAACTTGACGTCGTTTTTATTTGAGCGCTCCTTATGATTAATGTGATTAAAGCAAATATTTTTCGAAAATAGTGAGCTTCGGATTTTAGTTACCAGGCCGCCATAATAACCAGATTGTTTAACGAACACAGCGCCTAAATTAAGGAAAATTTCCAACTGCACAATCGCAATAATCCCCCTTGTGTCCTTAATAGTACTTCTGCACCCCCCCCCCCCCCATTAAAGTGTACTATGATTTTGTTGATTTTGTGAAAATACCTACAACATTAATAATAAATAAATAATAGCAAAACGCAAATTCAAATAAACAAAAATCTAAAAAAGGCATAATACCGACACTATTAATACATTCATATATCACTATTTAAAGGTACATCACAAAAGTTTGTGTGTTGTGTTCCCAAAACAGAAGACTAATAAAATAATTAATTAAGCCACAATCGAACAAAATGTTCTATAATTTTATTTTTGAGAAAATGGGGTGACACGTTCTTAATTGGATCAATAAAAAATTTGTGATGACGCCAATAACGTAAATAATACTTGTCATAGCACAAAAGAAAATTAGTCACAGCGCATTACCAATGCAAGAAAAAACCAAAGTGATAACAGCTGTGAAGGCAGTACGACTCCGCAAGTACGATTGATAAATTTTTGTTGTGCACTTTTTCGAAATCACTGAGACAAGTGTTATTGTTAAGCAGGTACGTGACAGAGCGAAAATAGCACATCTGGGGTTTCTTGAGGTTCCACTTGACAAACAAAATCATAAAAATTCCTCGATTCTTTTCGGTGAAGGGATGAACCGACGTCAGTAGTAGTAACTACGCTCGGGAAGTAAAAATATTAATAATGTGAAAAAGTTACTGCACAAATTGCAATTTCCAGCTGCACAAATGCATTTTCGAACTGCACAAAATGTGCAGAAGTGCACATTAATTTAGGCCCTGAACGAACACACAAAAAAAATATATTTTTTTTTTGCATAAAATGCAGAATCTAGAAAATATTACTGATTAATATACACAACCATTCAAAATGCATGAAAATTTTAATTTTAACCAATAGCAACAGCATTACACTGAATAAACATCAAGTTGGTGTTTATTCAGCTCAGATAAGGATGTGT